CAGAGTCGCTAAATGGGACTCGAAGCGGACGTGTGACCCCACCAATGGATTGCTCTTCGAACGAGGAATTTATGGGTGGGATCACACGTTCGGTTTTAGTCCTGTCTAGCGACTCTGGAGCTCAAAACGCGTCTTCAGTTTTTGGCGCCGCCACCGGTCTGCCGGCCCACTGTGCAGCCCACCCCGTGGCGCCGTCTCTCTCGCACCCGGTCGGGCCCCCTCGGGCGTGCGAGAGAGACGGAGGCACCCTGCCCGGAATATCGGGCCTCCAGCGAATCATGGCCGCCTCGTTTCCATCTTGCCGATGATAAATGTGCATAAAGACGCGGCAAAACGCGTTACGCCAAAGACTCTGTCCGTTTCCGGAAACCGCAAATAAATTTACATATTCCCCAGCAAACTTTACACCACTAGTAGTCCTATCGTCCACGGCTGTAAATTTTGTCCCGTCTTAACGTGTATTTATTTCTTTATTTATGTGTTTTAAGTTTTTTTTTTCGTGTAGTTGGCCACCCTCTTTAGCGGTGGGATACACCGCCGCCTCCCCAGCTCCACTGCTGCCCGTACTGCTGTACCGAAAGACCCAAACCGCCCCGGGTCAGCAATCTGCTGCCCTCGCGTCCATCCCTTCCAGCGGCACGGGGAAAACTTTGACGGGGCGGGGGAGGGCATCCGACACGCCACCGACGTTTTTCGGGTGTAGGGTACAGCACCTCATCGTCCGCGTGGGCCAATGTACGTAAGACGCGCGCGAGGGAAGAAAAAACACAGCGCGGAAAGTCATATTTCTTCCCTTTTCCGAGTAGCTTGATTTTTCCGCCCGCTTTTAATTTGAAGAATTAAGCACGTCATCCCCCTCCCTCTTGGCAGTGGCGGGGCCGAGCCACAGAGTGAAAGGGACGGAAGCCGTGACGTCCCCTTTGAGCCCTTGTCGACTCCAGGGCCGCTCCAGGGCCGCTCCAGCCAGACTCCAGCGATCATAACAGCTGATTAATTAATTCACGAGGCGCGACACTGTACAGCACAAAAGGGCTAAAGCTAAAAGAAAAGGAAAGAGAGCCCTCTGGGGAGAAGAAAAAGAGAGAAAATCAAACAAATTTAACTTTGTTTTGCCCAGGGAAGCCTATTATGTCGATCCTCCACCCCAACTGGAGAAACTTCACCCTTCAAAAACAAATAATAGGGGACCGTCCCGTGACGTGTGCGTGCGTGTGTGCGAGTGCCTGTGTTTGTCCGCGTCCGTCCGCGGGACGTCGTCCGCAAGCCGCACGTGCGACGCTGCGACGCGGAGACGACGTCGAGGGGGAGTCCGACGACGAGCAGTCGATAGACGCGCAACCAATAAGTAAAGTCAGAGTCACAAGGCGGCGTCACGGCGCACGCCGACGTGACGAGCCGGTCGCTCCGTCTCTCTCGCACTCGAGGGGCGTCCCGAGGGCGTCCCGAAGGGCGTCCCGAAGGGCCCAAGGGGTGCGAGAGAGACAGAGCGTGCATGACAATGGCGTGATTTACCGACTCCGTGCATCGCTACACTGTTGGAGGATTGGGCCGCGGGGGGCAGCCCGGTCCGGCCCGGTCCGGCCTGGTCGGGCGTGCAGTCGCGGCATCGCGGCTACACTGCCAAACACGTCGCTGGAGCAAAGAATGCAGCACAGGGCGCGGAGTGCACGCACGGCCGGGCTGAGGGGAGATACGGGGCGATTGTCCCGGTGCCGGCGGTGCCAGCCCGGCGGTCCTCGGGGACCTCCAGGTCTACCTCGGGGACGCCGGGGACGCACGGGACGCAGGGGAGCGGGAACCCCACCCTAGCCTCGCGCATCCTCGCTCCTTGCCGCGGCATAAATTCAAACGTCAAAGCGAACAATATTCGCACTGAAATATTGATCCGCGTGTCTGGGCGGGGCGGGGCGGGGCGGGGCGCGGTGGCGCACCTCATGCCAACTCGAGGGGCGGAAATGGCCGGGAAGAAGCAGGCAAATGTCCTGTGAAACGGGCCGAGGACCCGGTTCCGATGGATCGATCCCCGCCGTCCGCGGGTTTCCCATTTCACCACTCCACTGATAAATCCCTGAACCGGAAAGAAAGCGGCCCTCCGAGTCCTTCGAGTCCCGGCGGCCCAAAAGGTCGACTGGTGTGCAGCGCCAGCCCGCCAGCCCGCCAGGCCGCACTGCAACTAGTTCATCGCGAGGAGCAAAGTTCAAACGCCCGGCCGGCCAGCGAGGCGCAGAGGCAGCCAAGCGGTTCTGTCGCCGCCTCTCTCGCACCCCCACGGGGCGCCCCGTGAGTGCGACTGAGACGGAGCGGCGCCGTTCGCAATCAGCCTGCAGGACTCCGCGGGGGTCCTTGAATCAAGTCCCTTTACCGGCGGCCGGGCCTGCGGACTCACTCCACGCTCTGCCTCTCTCGCACTCATGCGGAGTTCCCGTGAGTGCGAGAGAGACGGAGCGATGATGGCCGTGCTCGGAGTCAGCCGGCTGCCGCGGTAGACGACATCCTCTGGCACCTCCGCCCCCGCCTCAACCTCCCCAGCCCAGCCCATCCCGCCCTCCTCCAACCAAACACCCCCGGTTCCCGCCCGGCTCCACCGCCAAACTTTGGCCATCGTCCAAATAGCGCCGACCGCCATGCATTAATAAATAGAGACAAATTTGAACGTCCGGTGCGGGCGGAGAGCCGGGCCGAGCCGGGCCGAGGGACAGGCGCAGCGCACAGCGTCCGCGGGTCTGCTAAGCTCCGCTAAGGAGCCACTGGGGCTGCACAGGCTGCACTAGGCCCAGGCAAGAAGCGGCAGCAAGCGCACAAGTCTGAAGTCCATTCCTACAGACATGTACAAGCTAAGATGTCATGGCATGTCCTGCAAAAATTATAACCTGCAGACACGGATTGTTTGAATCACTCCTTGACATGGAGAGAATGATTCAATGACTGTACATTTTCATCAATGGTGAAATTTGAAAAAGACACCAGTCAGCTTCTAAAATCGCAAGGCAGGCATCAGAAATAAAACATAAAAAAAGCCATTTCAATTTTCAATTTTAAAATTTCTGGGTCTGTTACTGACTGAATAAATTCACCACACATTTGTAAGCTGCGGTGATACGGAAAGAAGTGTGTTTCTCAAAAGAATATGGAATAAAATATCGTACGATATAATCTTTTAGCAGAATAGTATAAATTAAAAGAACGGAAGGTGCACTAAAACATCTTTACTAAAAGCAGCAATTTAAAAAAAAAAAACTGTTTCAATTGACAAAATTAATTTATTGTAAAGTAAGATTATAACGAGCTTAAGTGACATTAATATCATGGAAAGCTGTCCGTCCACAGTACGGAAAGAAAAACTAACAACAAAACTGACAATGACAGAACACACGGACACTGTCATTTAAATAAGTTAACACATGCTAAGGATTATGTAAAACTTTCAAAAAAAATAATTTAAAACATTTAAATCTTCTGGTGGTTAGAGGGACGGAAAAATGAATACTTTAGTCCAGAAATGCCCAAAACACCGAGAAACATCCGTTCAATTCACCTCAACCACAATAAACATAACCCCAAAACTGACGTCCGCGACGGAATCAAAACAAAAACCGGCAAGGCAGTCCGGCGTTGTTTAGCGAGACTTGCCGGTCGTCAAGATGCCAGCGGCTCTAGATCAACAGAGGACGCGTCTCCGACACACTCGTTCGAAGAGTCTCCTCACCTTGAACAGCAGCCACACTCGGCGCGGCGAAGGCGAACACCGACACCAACAGGAATGCCAGACTCCGACTGCGACTCCGGGCGAGCGGAGCGCAGCATCCTCGCCGCTGGGTAATCCCAAACATATCGCACTGCACACGCATTTCACTGCAATTCACCCTCGCGGTCCTTCACATTTTCGCACAGGGAGTCGAGCCGAGGCAGGGGTCCGATCGGGATGTAAACAAATCACCAGTCACAACGTCCAGCACAACAAACGCAGCGACGAAGCATAGCGCGCCGCGGCGGCCGACACGGAGCGTGCGTCCGGCAGCTCGCGTCGAGCCCAACTGAAGTCGGCGCGGCGAGGGGGCGGGGCGGGGAGGGGCGGGGGTGAAGCGTGTCTGGGCGGAGGCGGCGGGGGGCGGCGCGGGGCGAGGCGGGGGTAAAACGGGGTAAGGGTGGCGCCCGGTCGACTGCCTGGGCCGCGTTCGAAGCGACACGTCCTTTCCAGGACCGCGCCGCCGGCGATGAGGAAGACAGGCCGACGCCTTCGGACGCAGCCAGAAACACCGGCTGGCTGTCTGGCCGCAACGCAGCGTGTATCCCTCCGCGCACCGGGACAGCCGGAGCTGCCGGAGCCAAAGACCAAAGACGACGAGAAGACGACTCTGCGGCTCGCCGGCTCCCACACTGGTTATCTTCCACCCAGTGCAAGCCCTGCAGTTTCAGCATCAGCGGGGTCACGGCCGCTTTCCGATTTTGCTAAACTTGCAGCTGAGTCAAATACGGCGGGAATTTGTTTCATTCGGAAGCCCCGCGAACGACTCCGCACCGCGCGTCGCACGAGCGCAGTGTTCCACGCCATCTATCGGAGGGACGCAGAACGAGACATTCCCTCGGGGCGCGGGGTAGCGACACATGGACACCGACGGACAGAGAGGGAAAAGACACGTGCCAGCATAGGCCTTTCCCTTCATTTACTGTCTACGTAAAACAGATAAACGCGCGTATTGGTTGGTCTTCGTTTTAATTACCCGTTCATCGCTGTCACCAAAACGGCCCTTTTCCCGTGTCTTCACATCGTCGTTCGTTCTCAACATATTCGGTTATTTTGGCGTCAATGCTGGTGTTTAGGTTGCCTTTTTTCTCGTGCTCCAAAGATTTGCCTTTCCAGCAAATCTGGCCGTAACTTTGCACTTCCCTGTGCAATCTGCATCACGCCGCCCCCAGCCTCCGACTAACTGAACACGGCTCGAGTCCAGGGGAGTGGGGGCGCAGATCTCGCTCGCCATTGGCCAGCACCGTGCGGTCGGGTGCGGTCAAACTGTAGTCGTCTGCTCACTTGATGACGTGGCTAACTGAACCAGTCCTTTGACAAGATTTGTTGATTTTGCAAATGCAGACACGTCGACAGGTTAAAATCTTTTAAAAAGGGACATTGTCACGGCCAATATACATGAAGTGTGAGTTGAATGTACGCAGTTTTGCTCTGACTTGCTTCCAATTTACCTCTTTGTGTACAAGTGTCCCAATTTTGTTGAAAACTTCGGTTGTTTTTAAGTTACTTGACGATTTCCCCCTACCTTTACAGGTTGGTGGAGCCTCCGGTCTCTTTAGTTATCTGCTGTACTAAGGTTTTACGTTTCACTTCCTTCTAACAGGTTCGTGACATGATCTGCGGCTCCATTTCATCATGAGAATCATTCAGCTTAGGAAAAATCGGGTGGTAAAAGTGGTGTTGGGGGCTGCCTGTCTGCTGCCCCTCATCTACCTCCTGTCAACTTACTCCAAAGACAGTAAAAAGAACGATGTGAGTCAGGCCCTTGGGCTTGAAAAACCCAAACGGACGGTAAGTCACTGCTTTCTCTTTAATTTCTGAATTATTGGACTTGATCCTTGGTTTTCACTTAGCAAACTGTCATGTCTTTTATTTCTTAATTTCATTCTTTTTATTTTTGACAGCAAATTACAAAACACACTGATGGTCTGGGTAATTTTGAACCTAAAAATGTCTTGAAGAGGGTAGGGCCAGGAGAGCATGGAGTTCCTCACAAGCTTCGTGACGATCAGGAAAATGACGCAGCCCAATCTTTATCAGAATATGGCATGAATATTGCTCTTTCCAATGAAATTTCCCTGGACAGGGCTATTCCTGATACCAGATTACCTGAGTATGTTCAATTTGTGTTGGATGTATGGATCGTGCATCTAGTGTAAATTCTAACATTCTCTTTCCTTTCTCAGATGTAAACATTGGGATTATCCAGAGGACCTACCTCAAGCCAGTGTCATAGTCGTCTTCCATAATGAAGGGTTTTCTGTTCTGATGAGAACTGTACATTCCATCATCAACCGATCTCCACCCCAGTTCTTAAAAGAGATTTTGCTAGTTGATGATTTTAGTGACAAAGGCAAGTACCTCCATTTTGTAAAATATTGTTTCATTTCTATACCACACTTTATTATACATAAACTCATTTTATTTTGATAATTTCAGAGGACTTGAAAGGGAAGTTGGATGATTACATCACAAAATTCAATGGAAAAGTACGTCTTATTCGCAATACCCAACGTGAGGGACTGATTCGAACCAGATCTCGTGGTGCTCTAGAAGCTCATGGTGAAGTTATAGTCTTCCTGGATGCCCATTGTGAAGTGAATACCAACTGGTTGGTCCCTCTGCTCGGTCCAATCTATCGTGACAGGTAAGGTTTCTATAAATGAATTTAGTACATGTAACCACCTGCATCTTTTCTGAATTTCTCTCCTAATTTTACTAGGACTGTAATGACGGTACCCATCATTGACGGTATTGATCACAAGACATTTGAGTATCGCCCAGTTTATCAAGATGGTCATCATTATCGAGGTATTTTTGAGTGGGGTATGCTGTACAAGGAGAATGAAGTTCCCTCAAAAGAGGCTCGTACCAGGAAGTTTAACAGTGAACCCTACAAGTGAGCACTTAATTTATTCCTTTTGACTTTTGCTATAAGAAAAGAAATCAGATTTTAGCCTCTTAGGAGCATTATTTAACTCATTTTTCTATTTCATAGGTCTCCAACACATGCTGGTGGCTTGTTTGCTATTGACCGTAAATTTTTCTTATCGATTGGTGCTTACGATTCTGGCCTTTTGGTGTGGGGAGGAGAAAACTTTGAACTCTCCTTTAAAATCTGGCAGTGTGGAGGTAGCATTGAATGGGTACCTTGCTCAAGAGTAGGCCATGTGTACAGAGGTTTCATGCCTTATAACTTTGGAAAACTTGCTGAAAGAAAGAAGGGTCCGCTTATTACAATTGTAAGTTATATATATTGTTTGTGAAATTTGTATAAAAAATAAGGGCAACATTCAAAAAATTAATGTAAATGTTTTTGTGTAACAGAACTACAAACGTGTCATTGAAACTTGGTTTGATGACAAGTACAAAGAGTACTTCTATACTCGAGAACCATTGGCTCGCTATCTTGATATGGGTGATATCTCAGAACAGTTGAAGCTCAAGAAAGATCTCAAGTGCAAAGACTTCTCCTGGTTCATGGAAAATGTTGCATATGATGTTCTTGATAAATATCCAGAACTTCCTCCAAACCTTTATTGGGGAGAGGTATGTAAGGGACTACTGTGGTGCCTTCAAGTAGCTATTATTATCATATGTGAACTCAATGCATTATTTTCAACTCCCTTTTTTAGTTGCGGAACCGAGCCACCTCAAATTGCTTGGACACAATGGGTCATGGTCCTCCGAGTATGATGGGAACGTCTCATTGTCATGGAGGTGGAAATAATCAGGTAAATACAATGTTCAGTATATCTTGAAACTAAAATTTTGTTTCTTGGGGATTCTAATTAGTTTTATTTCAGTTGATAAGACTTAATGCTAAAGGCCAACTTGGGGTTGGAGAGAGGTGCATTGACGCTGATTCGTCTGGTGTGAAACTAATATTCTGCCGATTGGGAACAGTTGATGGACCATGGCAGTATGATGAGGTTGGTGTCATTCTGTTTGGTTTTTCAGTCAGTGGCCTCTTATCATGTTGTACTAAACAGTCTTATCTTTTACAGACAACTCGCTTACTCCTTCATTCCACACACAAAAAGTGCATGGCTGTCCATCCTCAGACTTTGCAACTAATATTAGCTCCCTGTGATCCAAATGATAATTATCATCATTGGAACTTCAAAGAAATTCATCCTAATTGGTAACAGGGTGAACACCTTTCAAATGTCAGAAACATAATTAGTTTTCTGAAGACCAATTCATTCCATTGAATAACAGCAGAATTCTTAGAATGTGGTGTAAAAGCATTTATTTCTATCCACTATTCTTTGTTCTGAAATTTATCATTGTTTGTATATTACAAAATTATTTATGTGACTGAGATTTATTAGACTGATAAGTACATAAGCAGTACATATTGGGCACAGTGCTCTAGTAAATTTGGTCTGATGCCTAGACATTTAACCTTGTGCAGAAAAATGAAAAAGAACCCAACTGCAACTTCTGTGCATCATGTTTTAACCTAAGCCATTTGTCAGTTCATTCCTTCCTTGTGGAAGATAAAATCAAAGTTTATAAGATACACTTAATTTATAGTTACAAGATTTGAGTAAGATATTATATTTAATTATAAGGTGATTTGGCACAATTATGAACACAGAAATGTTTTTGTTTGACATTTGTGAGTAGATGATAAATTTTTGAATTCTTCTGCCAGAACTAAATTACAATACGTAATTTTGATTTGAAGTGAGTATGTATTCTCCGCCTGTAATGGTTATCATCAAATGAAAATTGAGTTTTGACCTTGTTTGATAATTTGCTTGCATGTTTTCCATGTGTCAAACACCCTTGCTGGGGTAAAGAGTAAATTCTACCAACAGACATCCTAACTTTGCTGGATGTTGTGATAACAAAAATCATGAGGGTCAAATGCTTCCTTCCTTGTTTTGCAATATTGTGCTCATGCTATCTAGTGGAAAAAGATTTGCTTTATGTGAAGGTGAAATACAGAATGAAGTATGGTGTGTGTATGTACAGTAAACATTAATTATGAGATCAGGTGCCAATGAGAAAATGTTTGAATGGATTTCCTTGTGGAGGTCAATTGTTTCTTATTTATCATACCTCATGGGAAACTTATCAAAATTATTTTTATTTTTGATGTTGACAGCATAATATATGGTGTGTGTGCATTTGTGTGCGCATGTGTGGGTGGCATTTTTCTTGTGTGAAAGTATATCAAAGGTAGTTTCTTAACAGGAAAGCGTGTCAAGGAGTGCTTATGTGTTTTCTTTCCTTCTTTGTCTGTGATAATTCCAGGCAGCGTCATCTAGAGAACTTGTTATATGGCGCTAACTGTTAACATTTCCCTACTTTAGTTATGGCAATGCTACTCCTTTGCTTTCATTTTTATTAATATTTTCACTAATGTGAAATATAATTGTTGACAATTTTAACCTCATACTTAAGTTTTAAAAGAAAACAATCCAACTTTTCGATTTGAGCAATAAATATCATGCCATAGGAAAGGGACAGTGCTACCATTTCTTCTAGTGAAATTTGTATTTTCTGCAAACCAGATAATTGGGTGTGTGTATGTTAATTGTACTTTGAAATGCAGATACTTAGCTGTCATCAACTTGCCAACAATTGTTGAGAACTGTATCAATTTGTGTTTATTATTTGCACCAGTAACTGTATCGGTCGTATTTGGTCCTGGGTTGTGGAATCCATTCATGAAGTTCATAGCATAGCAAATGTAGAATCGAAAATCAATTTTGAGGAATGGGGCTTGTGTACTTGTAGACCATTTGTTTCCAGACTTCTCTTGTGAGTATGATGTTCAAACTTATCTACCATAAGTATTGTCATTGTCATCTTATATTGTCATCATAAATGTGAAATTTAGTGAATGGACTCTCTGTTATTGTATCATCTGTTGTTAAGGGTGCTTATGTGGATGTATTTTTGTAGTGGGGTGTGTCATATCAGATTTTACACAAATATTGTGAATAATTTAAAAATCAAATTTTCAAATGATTTTAAATTGCGAATTCACATGATATCAGTGAACTCATAAAATTTTCCCTGTGTTGTTGTGTTAACGTTTTTTAAAGACTTCTTTTATACAAAGACCTTGCGCACGATTTTTTTTTTCAAACGTGATAGCTGTGCTAGTTTTTTGAGGTCTGCTTTCTTTTTGTTGTACTGTTGTTGCTAAATGTGGACATTAAAAAAAGATAAATGAAAAAATTTAATGCTGGGGTGATTTCTTTGCTGCTCCTTGACCTGTTGCTGTTGGTAGCGGCAAAAGCGGGTGCGCCCTGCTAGGTGTGGCGCGTGGGGTTCTGCTGAGCCTTCGACACCCGTCGGCACCCTTGGGGTGTCGGTAGCGACCTGGCGGCCTGTGACTGCCGACTGCCCTCCCCGAGGCTCTCTAGGCGGGCCTACCCGGCACTCGGCACACCCACGGGGTTCCATATTGATCCCTCGCCCTCCCCTCCACCCTCCGGACCCTGAGGCTCAGCGCCTGGCTCGGCCTCATGGCTCGGCCCTGGAAGACTGGAAGGGGAGGCCCAACAGCAGGCCGATTCGCGCTGTCCCTCTCGCACACGCGGGGCGGCCGTCAAGGGTGCGAGAGAGACAGGCCGACAGGGGCGGCGTGGCTGCACAGCACGTGGAGCCTTGCAGCCGGGCCGTTGCACTGCCTGGGCGTGGGCGGCCTGCGCCACGCCACTGGCGTGCCACTGGCTGTGGGGCTGCCGCTGTTGTGCCGACAAGTCCGCGTGGACTAGGAGGGAGTGCCGCTCCGGGCTTGGGCCAGAGGCTTGGGCCAGAGGCTTGGGCCAGAGGCTTGGGCCGCGCACCGACGCGCATGCTCTGGCGGTAGTGGCGGTAACCGTGCCAACGGAACGGGGTCGTCCGCCGATGGGCCCTTGTGGGCCTGCTGCGGGGTCGAGGTGCGCGCCCGATGCGCCTCCCGGGCGGTGCGTGACGGCGTGCCCGGCGTGCGTCCCCGGTGACCAGGTCGACCAGGTAGCCGCCTAAGATGTCCCGCGGCCGGCGGCATGGAGCCAGACGGGGCGTCGTCGGGGCTTCCAGCCCCCGGCAGTGATCGGCGCGCGCGGCTGCGGCACGGCGCCAGCGTGAGCGCGCCCCTCGACGGCATCCCCGAGGACCTGCTGTTCTTGACGCCCAGGCCGGGGCAGTCGCCGTCCCCGATCAGCTCCGGAGCCGCCGACGACGAGGACGACGAGGGCCGTGAACTGGTACGCGCACTGTGAGCCTGAAGGCTGGTGAGGCGGCCAAAATTCGGCACGCGTTTTGAGCTCCAGAGTCGCTAAACGGAACTCGAACCGAACGTGTGACCCCACCAATGGATTGCTCTCCGAAGGAGAAATCCATTGATGATGTCACTTGCTCGGTTCGAATCCTGTTTACCCACTTTGGAGCTCAAAACGCGTCCAGAGTTTTGTCCGCCTGCCTCCACCGGTCTTGGCCCACTGTGACGCGCTGCGCCGCGCCTCCGTGTTGTGTGTCGGGGCGTGCGTTTTGTTTGCAGTGCACCGCTTGTTTGCTCGCAGGAGCGCTCGCTAGAGCGTGCGGCGAGCAGGGCATCGCACCCCGCGCAGGGCGCACAGGGCGCGCAGGGCGGCCCTGGCGGCGCGGGGCCCTCCGCCGACGCGAAGGACGCCAAGGCCCCCCCTGGCGAGGTGCGGATCGGCGAGTGGGGCGTCGGCGAGCACGCCAAGGAGGGCGTCCCCGCGGTGGGGAACGACCCCGAGGACTGGGCCATCTTCGACGTGCTGGTGAAGCAGCCCGTCCACAGCCAGGACGACGAAGAGGAGGAGGACCTCAAAGGCCTCAAGGACTACGACGGCCTCAAGGACTACGACGGCCTCAAGGACTACGGCGGCCTCAAGGACTACGACGACTTTAAGGACGGCGACGGCCTCGAGGGGCTCAAGGACCTGAAGGACGTCTTGAAGGACACGTGCAGTGAGCGCGGGCGCCAGGGGTCTGCTACACCGGGGCCGGATGAGCTAGCCCATGTACTGGTGAGTGTGCTTGCTGGGTACACTGGCAGAAATAGAGCGGCTATCCTTCGCGTGTACTCGTTTCGAAAACGAGGGCTGCGCCCCGCGGGGCGCGCCACCGCAGGCACGCTTGTTTGGACACAGTGGTTGGCGGCTTCGCGCTCAGCCCGCCGCTCTGTCTCTCTCGCACCTACACGGGACGTTCTGTGAGTGCGAGAGAGACACAGCGACGATAACGACCCTCGGAATCAGACTGCTGTCGCCCTGTAGCCCCTGCAAACGGGAGGGCGGGCCAGCCCGCCGCGCGGCCCCGTGCCGCGGGTCGGCCTACCCTGGGATTCGCAGGGGCTGAGCGCGCTGCTGGCGGGCTGCTAGGGCTGCCAGCGTAAAGCGTGGAGCTAGCAGTGCAGGAGCAGGGCTCCCCGCCCCTTCCTGGAATCGACATCGCTGCCGTGCGTGTCGACGCAGGGCTCATCCAACGCGTCGTGGAAACCCCCCCCCCCTTTTCCCCTGCTGGGTTTGACAGGGCGCCCCCGGCTGTGTTCCCCATACACCAAACCTGACTGACCCGTTGAAAAAAATACGGCAAGCTGATTCCGATCAGTGCCTTCCCTACACTCATGGGGCGTTCCGAAAGCACCGTTTGCTGAAGTCCAATGCCCGACTCTGTCTCTCTCGCACCCCTACGGACGAGATTAGCTGGGTTTGCAGTGAATATTGATCTCACGAGGGAAGGGGCCTGCCTGCCTGCCTTCCTGACGCACGCCGGACCACAACGTCCAAAAGTTTGACCCGCTGGCTGGGGAGGAGGCAGTCAGGCAGCCGCAGCACGTCGCGAAAACTCGATCGTCCGTCGAAAGTCGATAATCACCAGCTCGAATTTTTTGCTTTGGGCAATACGTCCAAAGTTTAATCAAATTTTCTACAAAAAGCAAAAATTTGCATTGAAATTTAGTGGGGACAAGTTTGAGGAGACGGTTCGATGAGTCAAACCCGGCTTGCAATCTCCTCTCACCCTTATTCATTTTTTTTATTTTTTTTAATAACTTTTTTTTGGAGAGTTGTTTTTACTTGGAGGCGGAGTGGCGGAGTCCAAGTAGGCCAGTAGGCGCGCGGGGCAGCCTTAACAGTGCGGTGGGCGGGCAGGGCGGGCAGGGCGGGCCGCTGCATGTTTCCATGCAGTCGCGCTCTGAGCCGACGCGCGCTTCTCGCTCGAGCCAAAACTTTCAAGTGAGGCACTAGTGCCACTCGACTGGATTCCGCCACCCGAACTGCCTTTGGCGCCGCGAGCGAGAGAGAGAGGGACGACCACGCAGCCCCGGGCACGCACTGCGCGAAAGGGGTTACCATTACGTCATTCGTGGATCACATTGAACCGTTCACACTTTGTAAAATGAGTACAATCAACGGCGCTTCAAAGTTGCGAAAATTTATGTGGAGCGTTGGCCTGGATTTGTGTCCGTTCTTGATGCAGTGAAGCAACAAAAGCAGGATGTCGTGAAGCAGAGTCGTGATCGAAGATGAGACGGGACAGCCAGACGCACAGTGGGCCAGAAGACCGGTGGAAACGGCCGAAATTCTAGACGAATTTTGAGCTCCTGAGTCGCTTAATGGGACTCGAACCGAGCGTGTGACCCCACCAATGAATTCCTCGTTCGAGCAATCCATTGGTGGGGTCACACGTTCGGTTCGAGTCCTGTTTAGCGACGCTGGAGCTCAAAACACGTCTAAAGTTTTGGCCGCGTCTACCGGCCCACTGTGAGACGGCCTGCTGGGTCACTGCTAACGGTGTTGCCGCCCCAACCACCCGCTCCCCGCGATAACGCGCTGCTCGCGATACCATCGGACTCGTTCGCGATGGCGGTGGGGGTGGGTTTGTACAAGCACACACGCCATTCGCGGCTATTCGGCTTCGCAGCAGGTGTAGAATTGGAGGGGGGTGCACTGGGTACCGAGAACACACTTTTACGCACTGTACGCCATACTTTTACGCCTGTAAGCACGCACGCACGCTCAGGTGTGTATGTGAGCGTGACTCGACTAAGCGTACACTCTGCAAAGCTTTGTAGTGCTTTGCCGTGTTGAAAGTGCTGAAGTAGACACCCCAGTCTGCGCAGCAAGCAGCTGCCTGATTCCGAAGGATAGTTCCGAAGCTCTGTCTCGGAGATCTCTGTCTAGTCTAGAGACAGGGCGACGAAACGATCCTTTGCTAGGGAGGCGGCCGAGGCGGCCCATGACAGGGCGCGTTGTACAGTGCACTGTACAGTACAGTGTTGCGGTGTGTGGCGACATGCAACAGCGGGAGGCGTGGCTGGAGGGCCTAACCTGTCCGCGACCGCGGGGATCTTGACCCCAATGTGGGTGCCGCCGCGCCCCGCCACTCGTCTGCCTGCGTTTGCGTCTGAACTGGGTTGGCCCCGATGTCACGCCGAGGCACAGCTAGCGCCCTCCCCCCGGAAGGCCCCCCCCCCCCCACCGCCACGGCCGCCCCTCCCTGCAACCCCTTTCTCTCCGCGCCCCCTGATGCGCGCCGCAGCGCCGCCCCACTGCAGGGCTTCCTTCCCGAATCGCAATCCTGACCCGATAAGCCTAACCATGCCCTCGGCTCGCGCTTGCCGCTCTAGACGTTCCAGCATCACTCGTTCAAAAGCTAAAAGAAAATGAAATTTGCAGACGTTACAGACGGCGGACCGGCTGGCCGAGGACGCCATGGCGCACGACGTGGCCACCACGCTGCGCAGCGAGCTGGCCGCGCTGCAGTACAAGCGCGACCGGCTGCTCGCGGAGGTAAGCAAGGTCGCGGGTTCAAATCCCGACCAAGTCCGCATTTTTTTTAACATTTTTTCCGCGCTGTACGGCACCCTGTCTGTGGGCCAGAAGGCTAGTGGAGGCGGTCAAAATCTCAGACGCGTTTTGCGTTCCAGAGACGCTTAATGGGTCACACGTTCGGTTCGAGTCCCAGCTACTCTGGAGCTCAAAATTCGTCTAGAATTTTGGCCACCTTCACCGGTCTTCTGGCCCACTGTGCAGCGGCAGGCAGTCGCGTTCACGCCGTTGCTCTTGTTCGACAGCTGCAGGACATGAAGGGGCAGCTGCGGTGCCGCGAGCAGCGGGCCCTGGAGCTTCAGGTGGAGTCGGACCAGCTGCGGGAGCAGGCCGCCAGGCAGAGCTCCGTCATCGCCTCGCTCAGGAAGAGGGTCCAGGTGCGTCGCTCTGTCTCCCTCGCACGCCTACGGCACGGCCCATGAGTGCGAGAGGGACCGAGCGACCGCGCCAGGGACTAAACTACGGCAAAATGTACTCAAAAACTGCGAAAGGAATAGGCGGATTTGAACCCGCGACCTGTGGTTTCCGACAGGAGCTGGAGGAGCGCGAGCGCGCGGCGTCGTGCTCGCTGGGGCGGTCGGAGCTGGCGGTGCAGACGCTGCAGCGGGAGTCCCGGCAGGCGGCGGACCGCGTGTCCGAGCTGGAGGCCAAGCTGCGCCGCCTGGAGCTGGAGTGCCACGAGGAGGAGGGGCTGAAGGACGCCGCCAGGGGCGCGCTGTCCGACCTGGTGCGCAGGCTGGCCGCCGCGCTCGGCGCCGAGCTGGCCGACTCCAGCCCCGAGGTGCTGCTGGTGCGCGCCGCCGAGCTGGTGCAGGTAGGCGGCCGTAGGCCCACATCACAGTGGGCCAGAAGACCGGTGGCGGCGGCCAAAACTTTGAACGCGTTTCGAGCTCCAGAGTCGCTAAATGGGATTCGAACCGAACGTGTGATCCCATTCGAGTCCCATTCAGCGACTCTTGAGCTCCAAACGCGTCCAGAGTTTTGGCCGCCTCCGCCGGTCTTCTGGCCCTCTGCGCGCCGTGACGGCGAACACGTTTCAAGTTTGGAGCTTCACCTTTTGAATCGCGCGTCGTTCCTCCAGGAAGCGGGGCGTCTCCGCGCGCGCGCCGGCAACATGTGCGAGTCCCTGCAGAGCGCGGAGCAGGAGCTGCGGAACTGCAGGGAGGCCCTGCAGCGGCAGCAGGCCGCGCACATGTGCGAGATGGACCGGCTGAAGCAGGCAAGCACACGCTGCACAGTGGGCCAGAAGACCGGTGGAGGCGGTCAAACTCCAGACGCGTTTTGAGCTCCAGAGTCCCTAAACAGGACTCGAACCGAACGTGTGACCCCACCAATGGATTGCTCTCCGCAAGAGAAATCCATCGGTGGGTTCACACTTTCCGTTCGAGTCCTGTTTTGGGACACTGCTGCCCAAAAGGCGTCAAGAGTTTTGGCCGCCTCCACCGGTCTTCTGGCCCACTGTGCGCTGTCTCACTCGCACCCACGGGGCCAGGCGAAGGCGAAGGGGTGCGATTGAGACAGAGCGACAAGAAACTTGGACATGAACGCGCGTGGGGCTGGTGACCTAAACGCACCGCGCTCGCCGCGCTCGCCGCGCTCGCTGTGCAGGACAAGGAGAGCGTGGAGCTGGCCCAGCGGTGCACGGAGCGCGAGCTGTGCGAAGTCCGCGAGAAGCTGTCCGTGACGAGTCGCTCCCTCAGCGCCTGCACTACAAACTGCGCGCAGCAGGAGTCCGCCATCTGCTCCCTGCGAGGTGAATCCACCCTCCGCCTGCAGACCCATTCGCTTCCGTCTCTCTCGCACTGCCTCCAACTGTTGTCGTTTCGGCGTTGCTCGCAGAGGAGGTGAAGATCCGCGAGGAGAAGTGGCTGCGGCTGCAGAACGAGCTCCGCCACCTGCTGGAGTCCCTCGCCATCATGGTCAGCTCGCCCAGCCGCTTCGTCGAGTCCTCCGAGGGCTGCATCAAGGAGCGCATCCGGGAGATCCTCTCCGACAACAAGGACCTCGTCGTGGTGAGCCGGCCGAACTGCCTCTCTCACGCTCGTGCGAGAGAGACAGGGCCACGAAACGCCCCGTTAGGACGGGCCGCTACACCAACGAACCACAGTGGGCCAGAAGACCGGTGGAGGCGATCAAAATCCCGGACAGGTTTTGAGCTTCAGAGTCGCTAAATGGGACTCGAACCGAACGTGTGACCCCGCCAATGGATTCCTCGCTCGGAGAGCAATCCATTGGTGGGGTCACAGTCGCACGCTCGGTTCGAGCCCCATGTAGCGACTCTGGAGCTCAAAACGCGTCTCGAATTTTGGCCTCGCAAATCCACTGTGCGCGAGGACTCGAACCAGCGACCTTTTCAGCAAATGGACACGCTGCGCGAGAAGGCGTGCGGGCTGCAGCAGCAGCTGGGCAGGCAGTCCGAGATCGCCGAGTCGTCGTCGTGCCGCGCGCGCGTCCTGGAGGAGGACAAGGCCATCCTGGAGTCCAGGCTGCACAAGGCGGAGAGCGACCTCACGGCCTGCGACGTGGCCAGGGACGCGCTGCGCAGGGACAAGTGCACGGTAGGACATAGGGAACATAGGGAAAATGTTAATATTAGACAATTAATATTGATCGTACTCTCAATACATGAACATGAGCTCACGATGATATTGATATAAAGCGCGGATTGCTTGTCGCTTCGGCAGTTCATGGAGTTCCTGGACCGCCTGGGCAGGGCGCTGAACATGGAGGAGGTCTCCAAGGACATCGGCGTGGACATGCACACCGAGGCGCTGCTGGTGCGCGCCGACCAGCTGGCCCGGCTGGAGAGCGACAAGATGGTGGACAAGGTGAGGGCCACTGCCAGTGCCTTTTTGTGGTGTACCAGAGGGAAGTCCCGCGACACTCCCGGTGCCCCCGTTCCCTTCCTCGTTCCCTTTCTCCTGCCCCCTTTCCGTTTCCGGCTGCCCGGTTCCTCCTTCCTCCCTAAGTGGTGTGTTGATCGCAGCTGCTGTTGAGTGGGACTCTGCCCAGACTGCGGCGTCCGCGCTCGCCCCGGGACTCGCCCGGCAAGGAAGTAAGGCTGACCCGCCAATCGGCGCTAGGCAGAACTAGGGTAGTCAGCATCAGGTCGAAATGACGTCATGTTGACGCCATTTCGACTTTTCTGTTCTCACTGGGCATGTTTTCTTCGTCTTCTTTTCCATAGCTTAGCAGTCACAGCCCGCAAGTCACCCATCAAGGCCGCTACCGCATTCGACACAGATCTAAATAAAGTGCCAACCATCTGAAACTTGAAACTAACGCTGCCCCTAGGAGAGACACCTTTAATCATTTCCCCCCAAATCTCGGTTTTTGTCGAGTTTGAAAGCATTTCGTGTAAATGAGAGTGAGAGTTCGTTGGACTCGTTTTCCGCTGGAACCTCTTTAACGCTAACGCGCTGACGTCACAGCTGCCTTTAGTTCACCCATCGCTCACCACGCTCACTTAGCGTTAGTGGCGAGCCCCACGCACCATCCCCAACCGGTTCATGCTGCGTCCTTTCTTCGACGAACCAAGTTTACCCTCTTACAACGCGTAGTTGCTAGTTCATAGGACCAACAGGCGATACTCCTCCTCCCGGTCTTTCATGGAAAATGCCATATTCAGATGACACTTGTTTCCGCGGGAGTATCGTCTAACCTAACCTAACCTAACCTAACCCAACCCACGACTGGCGCTTCCAGACGGCCGCAGTGTACCAGCTGCAGCGCCGGGTGCGCACCCTCCGCGAACAGCTGCAGCGCCGCGACCTGCACCTGGACCTGCTGCGCCGCAAGCTGGCCCTGCAGGTGGACAGCTGCCGCGCGCGCGCCATCGTCGAGTCGGAGCGCGATGAAATCAGCCTCAGGCAAGCAGCCTTTCTCAGCATTTTGTTTGTAATTTTTGTAAAATTCACCTGTTTTGTCAGAAAAAAAAACACTTATTTCGTTAAAAAAAGATCAACCTTTTTTCATTGTGCAGAAAAAAATCTACCTTATTTCTGTAAAAAAAATCACCTTTTGTTTTTGGTAAAAAAAAAAACCGTTCTCCTCTGCAGGGCCAAGAAGCTCCAGAAGAAGACGGAGTGCCTGCAGCTGCAGCTGGCCGAGGCGCGCACGCTCAACAGGGACCTCAAGGCCCAGCTGGCCGACGCGGCCGACTGCAAGGTAGATGGGGAGATGGGTGGAATAGGTAGACAGCGAACGGGACGACTCTGGCCGGCGCTTTTCCCATTTCCCTGGGAAAGTGCCGTCAGGCGCCTGACGAGCACCGGGTAGGCCGTCCCGCGAGACTCCGCAGTGCTGCAGTACAGCCTACCTCGCAGGCGATTGCGATTAAGGGCTGGACCACAAAATGATCGTGTGCCTTTCGGGCACGCCCTGCCATGTCGGTGTTTCACCAGCACATGCTCGGCGTGCTTATTGCAAAGGGTCGGCGACACTGCTATGCTAACCGAGTGCATTGGGCCGCAGATCACGGCGCTGGAGAGGGCGCGGCGCATCGAGGAGCTCCAGAAGAGGCTGATGGACGCCGAGGTGGTGCGCACGCAGTACAACCGCAAGGTCAACATCCTCAAGGACCAGGTCCGCGCCACGGCGCAGTCCGCCAACCAGGAGCGCTCCCTGAGCGACCACCAGGCGCAGCTGCTGAGGGAGGACCTGGCCGCGGCCAAGACGGCGCTGTCCGAAGTGGCGCGCAAGGAGACCCAGGTCAGACGCGTCATCTTGCGTTCTCCGGTCACACTTGAGTCGCGATCCGCATCGCACAGAGGGCCACAAGACCGCTGGAGGCGGCCAAAACTCTGGATGAGTTTCGACCTCCAGTCGCTAAATGAGACTCTAGCCGAACGTGTGACCCCATTTATGGATCCCTCTTTCGGACAGCAATCCATTGGTGGGGTTACACGTTCGGTTTGAGTCCCATTAAGCGACTCAAACCGCGTTCGGGATTTTGGCCGCCTCCCACCGGTCTTCTGGCCCACTGTGCATCGAAAACCTCTCCGTGGCGCTGACACCACTCTGTGGTTGCAGCTGGAGAGCTTCCGCGGCTCGGTGAGCAAGCTGCTGGGCGTCGAGCTGCCCGCCACGGACTACGAGATCCTGGCGCGGCTGCAGAAGCTTGTGGCGGCGCACCGCGACTTCACGCTCGTGTCACGTCGCTGGGACCACCACGATCCGCTGGCCCTGCCCGTGCCGCTGCCCGTGCCGCTGCACGGACACGGGCCGTGCACGCCGCCGCCACCCAGACCCCTGTCGCCGCCGAGGTCCGCGCGATGCGCCCTCGCCGCGGCGGTGGCCGCGGACGAGGCGGACCTCAACTCCATGCTCGACGAGATAGACGACATCAACGGCATCTTCAACAAGCGGCCGCACCGCCTGGCCTCGTGAAGGGAAGGTCCACCGCGAGGATAGAGCTTCTGCACCGGGAAAAACTGAGGCATTTAAATACTATACGAGACATTGAAAACAGTTGTAAGCATTGTAGAATGTTTTTATTGTGCAATTCATAAGTTAAATTACAGAAGAAGGAAAAATTGTAACCGGATATTAAAAGATTTCCTAATGGATATAACAATTTTTAAGAGGGGAAAAATTTTAACATAGCAAAAGGACCTTTAGTACCTTTTAGGCGTTTGTAAACAAAAGATAAAAAACAGAAAACCTTGAAGAGAACTGAAAATACAATTCAAAAACGTTTATCAAGACATAAATTCTAAACATGCAATTCTGTCAAATATTTCCAGAAAGTGGATTTTTGTGATTTATGGGGAAAACAAACATTCTGATCTTATATGATACATTAAAACACAATGCACGAGCAGAGTTCTATCAAAAAGGCCCAACTGAATTACAATTCCACCACCATTCTCAGTCAAACACCACTAAAACACTAAAGTGAAGCTCATGACTAAAAACTTGAAAAGCACATCTAACCATTCAACACATTTCAAGATGATTCTTAAATTAAAGCAGATCACATAATTTCAAGGCTTCAGCCATTAATGAAACAGGAAGCCATAGAGATGCACAAGATAGATTATGAAATGATTATTGTAGTTTGTAGCATTGCTCATGAATGACTGAAGCCTAAAATCACAGACATCCACACCAAAACAATTCTATCAGTTCACAAAATAGAAATGTTTGATTAGCTAATCAACACATTGAAAATCAAACAAGAACAGGGATTCAGCAGGTACATACATACACATCATATAAAGAGACAAAAAAAGGGGGTAGAAAGTTATGGAGTTTCAAACAGCAGCAAGGTTTGCTCAAAACTCCAAAGGCAAAGAATAAGAGAAATTATTTCCTCTCCAGTACAAAAGCATCAAGATGCCAAAATAGATTGAGTAACAAAAACCTTTCATTTAAAAGTTTCAGAAACAAAAAATGAAAATGCATACTATTTCTGTAGAATGAAACATCCAACTTATCCAAAATTTTGGATTTATTAACGGCAGTTAGAAGGCAATTCAACATGAGCACGTTTGCGTGGCATTTGGCTGAAGAATTCTCGGATGTCTTCTTCTCTCACAACCTTTTTGTTTTCAGCAAACTTCTGCAGATACTCTTTCAATCGTTCTTTCATGTCATTATAACCTGAAACAGGTAGGCAAAAATGGATGAAACCTTCAGCAGACACATCAATGTCCAATCTACAAATACCGAAAGAAAAGAAAGAAATAATTTAAGGGTTAGGTATTTGATGTGATTTTTAAAAAAAATTATCAAATGATAACATACCATGCAGAGCCTCAATTTGAGCAGTACGATCAAGTTGGGAAAGAGCACGCATAGCATGGTCATATTGTGAGTTTCCTTGACCATTTGCACTCTTGGCCTTTCCCTGTTCTTCATAAAACTGAACGGTGTCTTGCAAATCAGTAAGATACGGCACCGCCTCAGCTTCATATTTTTCCTAAACATACACAGGAAGTTAGGTACTTATACTCGGTAACACCAACAACATAAGCAACAAAGACAGGACATATTTATCTCACCAGACACTTCTGGCATGTGCATAGTTGTTTGCGCCACCCTTCAGGCCAGAATGTCGCACCCTTATGCTGTTCCACTGGCTTGAATGTTGACAAAGTGCATTCTACCCCATTGCTTTGGGTGGAAGGAGTTTCTCCATTGTTCTAGAACATCATTAAAAACAATTAGTCCAGGAAAAATAGGGGCTCGAAAAGCAACTAAATTTTAATTTAAGGTACCTTTAGAGGAGATGAAGTGTTAGGTGCTCCTGCAGAGGTGGTAGGAGCACATGCAGTGGAGGTAGTTTCAGAACTTTCCGAAGCAGCTATTTTCTGAGGGGTCATTTCTACATTCACCTCTGTTTCGGCAGTCCCTTCAGTAGCTTTGGTTACTGTCATTTACACAAATATAGCAGTTAAATTATGTATGACAATTTGAAAGAAAATCAGTTTTTTTAGATGAAGAATAATGAACTTACAACACAACCCAGCGTAGTTCCACAGGAATGAATGTTGGCTCATGCAGGATCCACAGATCATCTCACCATAATCACTTGGAATGAACTTTTGGGTTCCAAGGTGCTGATAAAAAGAATATTGAAAGACAAGAATAAATTTATCTCATGTTGAACGGAGAACGAGAGGTGCAGGGTACAGAAGCAAGCAAACTTACTCGGCCATGATACCAATCTTCACATATTATGCACTGAATCATTTCATCATCAACTGGATCCTCAGAGTCAGGATAAGGTCTGTGGCAGGTACAGTAAACACCATTGAAGTTCTGATTGTACTTGTTATTTTCATTTATATCCTTCACCTGTTTTGAGAAAATATCACACAAAACATGACGCTTAGTCTACCAAATTCAAATCTCGCAAGAGAAAATAAACTTCACAGCAGGAGGTTATTAACGTACCGGCTCCAATTGACACTTGTTTCCTCCGAACAAAGAGTTACCACAATCACAACGGAAGTTCCTGGATGTCAAGAGAAAAGACCATCAGTGGCAGTCAAAACTTTCACGTCTTAAGAATTGGGAAAATGAATCGGACATGGGAAAATGTCACACATACCGCTTGGTGTACAATTCGACAAGGTCATGACCCTCATGGCACGAATAACTGCAGGCCAGACAAACGCCACCCTGCTTTTGCTCGGAATTGGCTGGAATGCAGGTAGTGCAGGCATAGAGCGCTTGACGTCTCACATATCCCTGCAACAAGCAAAGTCATAACACAACTAAGTCATGATAGCCTAAGCACAATAACAGAGACGAACAGGTAAGAAAACAATAACAACAACAAACACTCAATGGGATGACAACATGGAACAACTACATACTCCCAACACCAACTCGACAGGTTAGGTGTGCTGTCACACAGATGTCAGCGATCTCGATGACAAAGTTGGGAGTTCACGAGACGAATAAGTCACAATTGCGATTGCATTATCCGTAAATGTAACAGAAACCACCTCTTTACCTGAGGGTAGGTGCAGTTCTGGGGGTCGGAGCCTCCGAGCACAGCGTTCGCGTCTTCCTCCAGCTCATTTTCCTCCTTGAGCACATCAACCATGGTGATGGCATTGCTTTCGTCGTCCTCCGCATCCGCCCCGTTCCGCAGAGTTTCTTCACTTGTAGATTTCTCCGCCATTGTGCCGAAATTTGTCGCCAATTGAACTTGGCCAAACCGCCCTTACGCCTGGTTTCCTTGACAGTTTTCGACAGAAGTGATCGAATTGTTTTGTCCCGCCGAATTCCCGCGCAGAGATCGATCGGTCGAAGCGAAGCTCGGGAAATGTATGAGAAATTTATCACTCAAGTATGAGAAACTTGGACCCGGCAAAGGAACCGGAAATCGTGCGCCGTTTTATTCTTCTCACCGAGTAATGGTGTGTTGAGTAGCATCGCTCGTCCCAGTCCGTCCGGTTCAGCGCTGATTGCCGTGTTGCATTAACTCGACCGGATCAAAATGGTACGTCTAGTGCAGATTTTCAATCCCTTGTGGCTTATTTTGCAGCAAGTTCAGTTTCCACTTGCCTACTTGGCCCGTGAGAAAGCTGACAAATGCCGCCACGTGTTTTCTAACCTCTGACATCACACGTGAGACAGTCTGTTTACACCCGCCTCCTGTTGCAGAGTACCGCAGCTTACAAGGACCCCGAAAAGCCCGTGGAGCAGGCTCTGATCCACAGAATTAGGATCACCCTCACCTCCAGGAATGTGCGCAGCTTGGAGAAGGGTGAGTTTGACGTGCCCGGAGATGGGCCCGGGTTCCCGTTCCGCCACCCGGCGATCTTCGACAGCTCCTTGCTCTGTGCGTAGCCGCCTGTGGCTTCACTCGCTGCTTTGATTTGGAACTTGGCGCAGTTTAATTCGTCTACCTAAACTCCCCAGACCGTTCGATTTTAACTTAGTGAATTTTCATTTACTGTCGGCTTGTCATGGCCGTCCTCTCACCGTGTCTAGTTGCCCCCAACGGTTAAGTGGCTTGGATGAGTGTTCTGGTACTGATTCTATTGTGTTTCTTGTTCCAGTGTGCACTGACCTGATCAACGGTGCCAAGAAACAGAAGCTCCGTGTGAAGGGACCAGTTCGCATGCCCACCAAAATTCTCCGCATCACCACCAGGAAGACCCCTTGTGGTGAAGGTTCCAAGACCTGGGATCGCTTCCAGGTATGCCGTTTTTCTCTTAAGTTTGTTACTACTTGATGACTTTTTTGTGGAATCTGACTCCAGTGTGTACAGAGTTAGGAGTTTACATTGGGATTGTTTTTATTTCAGATGAGGATCCACAAGCGTGTGATCGATCTTCACAGCCCGTCTGAGATTGTGAAGCAGATCACATCCATCAGCATTGAACCTGGTGTAGAGGTTGAGGTTACCATCGCTGACTCGTAAGCTGTAACAACTGTACCTGTTTTTTATTCATATTGAATAAAAGGGAGATGCATTTCTATTCGAATGAATTATTTGACCAAACAAAGTTTGCCAATTCTACACATGCTCCCATTCAAAAATTATGGGTGAATTGAAATTTTTCTTTGTGAGGGATTGGAAGCTCAATCAAACTAGAGTTTCAACAAATAGCTTTTATTCACTTAAGTAATTACATTTACTTTCAATTTTGCAAGCATATCATAGATCATATCACAGCCTAAGCACTTGAGTACAAGTGCGACCATGCTCACATTCTTCAGGGCTTTTACCCTAGCCGCTCTTATGAGCGACTGCAAATCTTCACTGTATTGATAAATACAGTGGAAATAACTCTTATGAAGTCAATAGTACCTATCATGAGCACAAGATTAAAGAAATATCACAATTATTTACAAATGTTTCTACACTGGGGTAAAACATGAAACAATAGACAAAATACAATAATAAATATTTTAAATCTTACAACTAGCTTACTCATATCTTTTAAACAAACTTGAAGCAATAACAAATTTTGCATAAAATAACAATTCAAGAATTTTTGAATGGTAATGTCTGAGGCTTTTTCTATTCAGTAATACCCTGTAGTGGCAGTAACATGAGGTTCAGTGTTATTAAAGCCACGTAATTTGATTGTAAATTCCTTCAGCCTCTGAATAAAAATTGAGTCAAAATTTTGAATGTGTCCAAAGCTGTGTTATAACTTCATTGAGCCTTAAGCTTTTGGGATTCTTGGCCTGCTGTAGCAATCTTGTTGCTAGCTTGCTGCTTCCTATGCTGGCTGATAGCATTCTTCACATTTTGAGCGGGCATCTCGAACAAGAGAGTCAGGACAGCTGATGCCATGAAAATAGCTATAGTTTCCTTCATATTGAACTGTAATAAAACAGTAAATGAGTTAATTTCTCAGAAATTCAGGTCAAGTTTACTTGTTATTTTTTGAGTGAAACTTACCATTATAAACAAGCTGTACTGAATGGGAGCTTTGGTGAGTCCAACATTGTAGAAAAATACTGGGAATTGAGTGAGGTAGAGAGCATAAGATAATCTTGTGCAGACAAGAAATCCATGCCAAGAAAAGAATCGCCCAATTGATCCTGAATCAATATAAAATTAACTATGAGTCAAGAGCATAGCCTTATAAACCATTCATGATGATCAAAATGAAAACTTGCCTCCTTTGCCTATGTATGAAGTAAATATGATCCAACCGAACAGGAAGCACCAAGTAATAGGTGCGAAAGCTGCATAATTTGCGGCATGGATGGCTTCATACTTGTAGCCAACTGTTCCCATGAAAGATGGACTTACAACTGATAAATAGAGGCATACAAGCGCCAAAGTCCAGCCCAAGGTCAAGTGTGACTGAAAAAACAGAACAATTAAAAAAACCTTTTCTTAGAAAATTAAACATAGAATGTCAAAGTGGAATTTTTTGCCATATTATTTTTAATACCTGTTTCAACTTGAAGTCCCGACCACAATGGCGCAATATATAGCCAAGGGAAACTCCCATGAGGTACACAGTGAGGCGATGTGTTGGCATGACATAGGATAGATCGGCAGTTTTGAACATTTGTGAAATCCTAGGGGAGTAAAGAAGACAATTTTCAAATCCATTGCCCTGAAGAAATTTGAAGTAGGGAGGCAGTGATTAAGGAACTTACGAAGATCCAAAGTACACAAAGAAGCTCAGTTCATGGAAATATGTGTAGTAAAATCGGAGCATTGTTGAAATTGTGGCAATAGCTCCCAAGATAGCAAAGCCTCGCTTGGGCTTCGACCAGAGAATCCACACAAGCAGAGGGGAAACTAAAAACAGTTGTGTGTCAATTCCAACGTGGTGAGTATGAGTCAAGCACTGCAAAGAAAAGTGAATTCTAATTGAGTTTGAATGCAACCAGTATGTCACAAAGTTTTGGCACCATAGTAGTAACTTACCATGTTTTCAAAACCAAACCAGTTGTGGATAAAGAGAAGGTTTCTCCACCAGTGCCGTTTGCAAATGTCAGAGTGAGACTTGATCACCAAATTCCACAGTGGGCCAGATCCTAGCCAAGGCAGCACAAAGGTACAGAACATAATCAGGGCTGCCAGGGATGGAACCAATCTGGAACAGGAGTGAAGTTGGATTAGTCCCCATGGCGATAAGGTAAAAATAGTCAACTGATCATACTGATGTCTAATGGGTGTACCGAATGTATCGATTTTTAAGCTCTTGCAGCATTTTGATTTCTTGTCCACGCTCCAGCTTCTTGACATAGGCATATGATGTCAGCAGCCCACTCAGCATTATAAAAGGATCTGTGTACAGGCTGGCTGCACGAGCAATAGTTGTCCAGTGTTGACCAATACCCTGCAACATTCAACATTCCAGAACGCTTTTGAAAACAAAAACTTTATGTGGAATCAATTCACAATATTTGTTTGAAAGCATATTTTGTCACTATCCAAGAGGCAAAAAGTGGAATTGAAGACACACCTCGCTCATTTCAGTGCGGTTGCTGTAGCCGTTGTAGAAGACGGACATGGACTTGTGGCAGAGGAGGAGCATTATGGCGTTGAAGAAGCGGATGCCGTGCACGCTCTCGATGTCGTCGGCAGACCTCTTGGTTGACAGCAGCGCGGCCCAGTTCTTGGGCAGCGAGAAGGCGAGCAGCAGGTCCCCGGCCAGGCCCTTCTTGGGCACGTCCTTGGCCTCGTCCTTGGCCTTGTCCGTCACCTCGCCCTCGGCCGGCCTGGAGTACACGTCGTAGAAGGAGGCCACCACGGCCAGAAGCACCACCGCGCCGAAGAAAGCGCTGTAACCGGGTTTTCGGGTTGGGTCGTGGGTTCAAATCCGCCCAGCGGCAACATTTTTTTGTTTCAAGATTTTCCTTGCTGACCTTGCCATGACGGAGCTGGTGGGCATGCTGGCCCACGGCCGGTGCACCTGGCACATGTCCTGGTCGACGCGCACGCGCAGCGCGATGCCCGTGTTGGCCGTCAGCGCGCGGCTCCAGGCGTCCACCTGCAGCTCCACGTCGGCGGCGGAGCACACCGCGGGCACGCACACGCCCCAGTTGATGGTGGAGAAGCGCGGCACGCGGTGCCCCGGCTGAAACATGAGAAGCGTTAGCGCGTGGCGAAGGCCGCGGTCAAGTCATCTCCGGCGCTCCGCCTCTCTCGTGCTCTCGGCATGTCCCGTACAGGTGCGAGAGAGAAAGGGCGACGGAAACACTCTCGGAATCAGTCCACAGCGCCGCGCGTGTAGTCAAGCCCGCTCGCCGCGGCTGCCGGATGGGTTGCCTACCCCCAGGCGGGCCGCTTTGCCGCACAGTGGGAGGAGGAGACAAACAAAATCCCGGACGCGTTTTGTGCCCTCGAGTGTCTGAATAGGACTCAAGCCGAACGAGTGACCCCACCAATGGATCTCTCTCAGCACGACGAATCCATTGGTGGGGTCACACGTCCGGTTCGAGTCCCATTTAGCGGCTCTGGAGCTCGAAGCGCGTAGGGAGTTTTGGCCGCCTCCACCGGTCTTCCGGCCCACAGTGCGCCGGGAAATAGCAATGTGAGGACACTTACGTCCTCGAAGTTGCTCTTGAAGGCGTGGTGCGAGTAGACGCCGTCGTAGATGGCGGCCAGCACGGGGTGCGGCGGGCTCTGGGTGTCGCCGCGGTGCTCCTGGCGCAGCAGCAGCTGCAGGTACGCGACACAGTGCTGACCCTGCACCTCGCCGTCGGGACTGCGCACGGACAGGCACTGGTGGAAGTCGCCCATCTGGTTCACGTTGCCGTTCAGGATGCCGGAGGGGAGCTTGGCGGAGGCGTCGTGCACTGCGAGACAGAGAAGAGCGTGAGGCTAAGTTTCTGGCGGTCTCTCTGTCGCACTCGCGCGGCGACCCGTATGGGTGCGAGGAAGGCGGAGCGACGGGACCGACCGGGCCGTCTGCGCCCAGTGGGCCACCGGTGGAGGCGGTCTAAACTTTGAACGCGTTTTGAGCACCAGTCGCCAAATGGGATTCGAACCGAAGGTGTGAGCCCACCGATGGATTCCTCGTTCGGAGAGCAATCCATTGGTGGGGTCACCCGTTCGGTTCGAGTCTGGAGCTCGAAACGGGCCCAGAGTTTTAGCCGCCTCCACCGGTCTTCTGGTCCACTGTGCAGCGTCAGCCTGCCGCGGCAGAGGATAGGCCTGCCCGTAACGCATCCGAGCGCCGCGGGCGGCCTACCCTCACTCTCGCAGGCGGCAGGCGGCCTTGGTGCCTGCTCCGCCTGCTCCTCGCCGCGAATCAACTTCCAGTGCAGGTACGTCGCTGGCATTGTCGCCGTCTCGAGAAGACCCTCTTTACCGCCTTGCCTTGCCGCTGCCGTTCTGCGGCGCGTCCAGCAGGCCACCGGAGCGATTCAGAAGAATCGTTTGGTCGCTCTGTCTCTGTCGCACTCGTGGTGTCGCACATATGGGTGCGAGAGAGACAGAGCGACAATCCGCTCTTCTGAGTCGCTCGGCAGCGGATGTGACCAAGGCCCGGCGGCCCGGCCCCGTCATCGACGAGGTGCCCACTGGTCGTTCGGACGGCCGGGCTGCCTTTTCCGGGTCGGCCCCTGTGACAATATCGCGTGCCCCGCTGGCGCGTGGCGACTCTGCAGACTCTCTCTGTTTCGCTCGCACCCATATGGGGCGGCCCGCGAGTGCGAGCGAGACAGCGACAGCAGCCGGTCGCGGAAATCCCTGTTTGATGGATGTTGTTTGATCCGCTCGCTCCAACAGGTGTTGGCGCTGCTCATTGGCTTCCTCACAGACGGTCATTGTTCTGTCATGCTGTCAGGAGCCGCGTGTAAACAGACGCCACCATTGTACGCGTGCCCCTCTCCGCCCCGCCGCTCCCCCTTCCGTTTTTTGCTTTATTTTTCTGCACCCGCCGGGCCATCCGGCGGCGTTTCTAAACAGAGGCCGATCGCGAAGTGCGGCGCGGTGCGGCGCTGTGCAGTGCCGCGGCACGCAAGGGATGCAGCCAAGGTATGCATTTTTAACTCTTCTGCTTGAGATGCACCGGTGGCAGCGGTGCAGCCCGATGGCGCACGTGTGGAGAGCACACTGTGTTCGCGCGCCGGTCGGATGCGCGCTGCTACACTGCTACAAATAAACTGCAAAAAACCTCGAAATTTCGACTTTCTGTTTGTGGGTGCGTTCCAGCGTCCCCCAGAAGGGAGTCCTACACCGGGTCAACCTCTGTTTCGAAACAGGAATCTGTGGGGCCGGGGGCTCGCCCGCGGCGGCGGATGCATTTCGCCGAACCGAACGTCGAATTATCGGAGCCCCCGGAGCGAGCCGGCGACTATCGACCTATCAAACACCGCAATCATGTGTCGCCCCGCGCGCGTGTGTGGAAACTGGGGGAGGGCCTGCAGGCCCACCGCGTCGCTCCGTCTCCCTCGCACTCGTGGGGCGTCCCGCGTGGGCGCGAGAGAGACAGAGCGACGGACAACGTTTTTCCGGGCTTCGCTGCCTAGCATCGCGACGCGCCGTTTGTTTACTTGGTTGTGAAGGCTGGCGCAGGCTGGCGTCGTTTGCAACAGCGATCCGACTCGCTGGGAGGTTATTCCCACTCCTATGCGGGCGGGCGCGGCAGGCGGCGCGCGGCCGGGCTTCGACGCAGTCACAGAATTTCGGCCTTTTCTGGAAAACAGCCTTCCCTGCTTTCCTTATACCCGAAAATCCATAAGGCGTGAGAGTTTCCCAGACGCCCACGCCGCCTTGTGGCTTCCAGACCGAGGTTACGTAATTTGTGCACGCCTGCGACGCCCGCGCCTGGTTCCCATTCTTATGCGGGTGGGCTTGGTGGGTGACTCGACCAGCAACAAGCTTCCTCCGAGGCCGGCCCGCCAGACTGCCTGCCAGACAGCCTGCCCGAGGATCATCTAAATACGAAGGGCGCCCACTTCGCGCGACACCCGCGGTTGTCTCTCCCGCAGCACAGTGGGTCAGAAGACCGGTGGAGGCGGCCAAAACTCTAGACGCGTTTTGAGCTCTAGAGTCGCTAAATGGGACTCGAACCGAACGTGTGACCCCGGTTCGAGTCCTGTTTAGCGACTCTGCAGCTCAAAACGCGTCTAGAGGTTTGGCCGCCCGCGCCGGTCTTCTGGCCCACTGTGCGCAGCCCGCGCGACATCCTCATCGAGGCCCTGCCGCCTCATTGCGTCTCGTCACTCACTCTCTCGCACCGTCACGGCTCGCCCCATGAGTGCGACAAGGAGCGACGCAACGCGGCGGGGAATGCCGACGAAACAAAAAGGACCCAAGTGGTGAAGAAGCCCCGCGTTGGGTCCTCCTCGAGGACGCCGAGGACGCTGGCCGTCTGGATGCCGCCGCGCCGCCGCGCCCTCCATGGGCATTTTTCATACCGACGACACGCCTTGTTCCTCGTTCGGCGAATCATCGTCGGGGACCTCCGGCGGGCCGAGTCCAGACGCTCGCGCCGTCTCTCTCGCACCCGCACCGGGCGGCCCGCGAGTGCGAGAGACGGCGCGGAATGAGCCACGGCCGCGCCGCGACGCACTTTGCTCGTTTATTTTCTCATCCCCTGGCAAGTCATCCGGCGGACCGTCTTGCCCGTCTGCGGTGCAAGAGTGCCAGCGGCAAGGCGGCGCACAGTGGGCCAGGAGACCGGTGGAGGCGGACAAAATTTTAGTCGCGTTTTGAGCTCCAGAGTCGCTAAATGGGACTCGAACCGAGCGCGTGACCCCACCAATGGATTGTTCTCCGAACGGGGAATCCATTGGTGGGGTTACACATTCGGTTCGAGTCCCAATTAGCGCCTGTGGAGCTCAAAACGCGTCCGGGATTTTGACCGCCCCCACCGGTCTTCTGGCCCACTGTGCGGCGAGGCGGCGAGGCGTGGGCGGCGGCGTCTCAAGTACTGGGACGTCCTCGCGGCCGGCCGTCTGCGGGCCGCCTCCGAACGCCGCCGTCGTCGCTCCGTCTCTCTCGCACTCGTGGGGCCGTGGGACGCACCGCGGGGGTGCGAGAGAGACAGCCGTCGGCGTGCGTGCTGGGCTCGAGGTGGGGGCGGATGGGGGCCGCCAGGGACCGCCGCGGTGGCCAAACGGAACGAGGAGCCGGGCGGGGCGGGGCGGGGCGGGGGGGGGCGGGGCTCGCGGCACGCCCCGATGCAGCAGGTGTTTGCTTTTTTTGCGGTTTCTTACGCCTGACGCATCGCAAAGAAAATACTACAAAACCAAAACAAAAGAGTCTGTCCCCGACAGAGTTCATTTCACCGCTTCCTTGTACGTGCGTGCCTTCCTCCTGCAATGCGTCTGGAATCCATCAGGCACGGAATTCGCAGACAAAGGTGACAAAGTTTTATGAACCCCGGCCAATTTATTCGTGGAGGCAGCATTTAATTTCCCCCGTACCTAGCACGAATTTTCGCGCCGGCCTGACTATATGATTGCTCTCGTGTGCACTTCGGCGGACGAGCGACGTATTCAAGACCCACGTGCGCGCTGCGCCCTGGTTCGGTTCTCGACTGGATACAATTTAGCACACGGCGTTAATTTGTCTGGCAGACCCCCCTCCAACCACTCCGGTCGCCTGCCATCGCCTTGCCATTGCTTGCACTCCGAGCAATGAAACGGAAAGTAGTCCCGCGTCGTCCGGCCGCGAGGGGGAAAAGGGGGGGGGGGGCTGGCGGTCAGTGGCAGAGAGCTAACTGGAGCGGTACACACCACACACGCGCGCACGCACACACGCGCGCGGTGATGTAAGACTTGTCCGTGAACTTGCCGCGGGGCCTTCGCTCGCCTTCGCTGCGTCGGCGGGGCGTCGCGTCGGAGGAAGCCGCGAAGAGCCCCCTCGGCAAACTAGCAAGCGGATCTCCCGAAATAATTAAAACCCCAAGCAAAAAAACTGAACGCACCGCTTTCGCCATGCCGCCTCTCTCTCTCTCTCTCTCTCTCTCTCTCTCTCTCTCTCTCTCTCTCTCTCTCTCTCTGCCTCTCTCTCTTGCACCCTAGCGGAACGTCCCACGGGTGCGAGAGAGACAGAGCGACGAGAGCAGTCTTCGGACTCAGCCCGCGGCCCGCATGCGGCTGATCCTTGGGGTGAAAAAATGCCTGGCTCGCTGTTGTAAGCGAGACACATCGCAGGGGACAGCTTCGACTTTGACGCGGCGACGCGGCGCTGGCCGCTGGCAGGCCGAGGCGTGCCACTGCACTGCACAGCACTGGGTGCTGCAGTGTGGTGGCACCGCGCGACCAAGTAAAGTGTAACGACTCTTTTACGCAAGCCGGCCGGGTGCAGCGCAGTGCAGCGCGGCCAACGCATGCATAGGCCTTTCACTGAATCGAAGCCTCACGGTCAGCGGGCTTTGTCGCTCTGTCCCTCTCGCACTCACGGCGCGACCCGCACGGGTGCGAGACAGACAGAGCGACGAAGCGTTGTTTCGGCTTCGGCCCGTGTCTCAGCGCATGTCGTGTTTCCCTGCCGTTCGGACACGACTGTTTGGCTTGATTTGTTATGATCGACTCTCTCTCTCTCTCTCTCTCTCTCTCTCTCTCTCTCTCTCTCTCTCTCTCTCACACACACACACACACACCCTTGTTGCTAAGCTAACGGCAGCACCCCTCCTATCCCCCCACCCCCACTCTTCCCCGCCGTGCACAACTTGCTCGCCTTCTAATGCTTCCTTCAGCTTCTCTTGACAGTCTGCAACAGGCTAGGCCGCCGTAACAGCATTCCCGAGAGGAGCACAGAGAGAGCACTGACCCTCTGCCACACTGCCCATGCCTGTCACGCGCCTCTCAAACTAGCACACGCGTTTTCAGACGCCTTCGAAGAAAGCGCAGGAGTGTGTGTGTTCGGCCGGGGCGATTTTAAACACGTTTCAGCAGATGTTTGCAAAGGAATGTGGCACTAGAAAATTTTTCCTGGACACACCCTTCTGTCTAGGCCATTATTGACACCATTGACACACGCCTGCACTGCCAAACGTGTAGCACGCCACACAGTGGGCCAAGAGACCGGTGGGTGCGGCCAAAATTCTAGACGCGTGACCCCACCAATGGATTGCTCTCCAAACGAGGAATCCATTGGTGGGGGTGGGGTCACATGCTCGGTTCGAGTCCCATTTAGCGACTCTGGCGCTCGGCGTCTAGAATTTTGTCCACCTCCATTGGTCTTCTGGCCCACTGTGCGGCGGGCTCGCGTAGGGAAGTTGTGAGATTGGCACCTTGTACTTACTCTGGAATGCCCAGTAGGACAGGTCGGAGAGCTCGCGGGCGAAGCGCTCGCTCTGGTTTCTGCAGCCCTCGGACACGCCGGGCACCAGCGGCACGAAGACGGGGGACGCGCTCAGCAGACGCTGCGCCAGCAGCCGCTGAGGCTTGTTGTCTGCAACAAGACCAAACAAGGCATTTTAGGCTTTCGAACGCGAGCTTTCGTTTGGCCAACTTCGTGGGTCAATACTGCTCCTAAACTAAGGCGGAGGAAAATAGCTCTCCGTAAAGGCATGCTAAAGAAAGGACCAAAGACCAAAAGCCCGTGGAGGGAGTAGGTACGACTTCCCGCCTTGGATAGGAGGACTCAGTGGCAGCTTAAACTCATCCCAAACAACGATTTTTGCGCAATTTCAACCGTTTTGACGGACTTTGCGGCAACACCGGTGGTCACAACCCAGACCGGGGAATCACACACCCTAACCAGGGCCTTCAAAATGGAGTTCTTTTGTCTGCCTCTTTTTCTAGGGTCGCATTGACCTGGTGGGTGCCGTTGGCTCGCCGGACGTGGCCCGGGGGACGGCATACGTTGGCGCAACGGATCGCGTCCGAGGAACGCTTTCGCGCGTCGTGGTGTTGGTTCAAATGGACTTTCCGGACGCGTCCCCAGCTATGTGGTTTCCGGGCTGTCCATGCCGGGCCATGTTCCTACCAGGCCACCAAGAATGAAATCACCAACTGCGCAACACCTTGAACGCCTTCAAAAGTCCCAAGTCATCTCTGCGAAGGTCTGCATACTGCACCATAACTAACACACTAACACTAACGCCAAGCAGGTAAATGATGGCCGAATTAGAACGCCGTCATCATCACCACCACCATCATCACCATCATCATAATTTTCATCATCATCATCATCACACCATCAAATGTGGTTAAAATGTTGAATCTCGGATACGTCGCGTACATCAAAGTGGCGACAGTTGAGCGAGGAGCTGGGCGGTGCGGGACTGCGGGGGCTTCGAGAAATGGTCGCCTTGGAGTCCGTCGGGGAGTCCGTTCATTCCCCCGGGACGGGAGTCCCCTTGGACCGTGGAGGTGTGCAGGTGTCGGCGTGTCGCAAGCGGGACGACAGGATCACCGTCACTCAGGCGCCGCAGATTGCCCGGGACCCGCTCGCGCCTCGCTCGCGCCGATCCACTGCAACCCCGAAGGCCTCGAAGGCCCCGAAAATGAGGAAACGGAGAGTTTACTTTTCGGGAGATCGATCTTGCATAGGCTGCGAACGCGCGGCTTGCATTCTTAATGCCTGTCTCTACAACGGAAAACCGGTTTGTGTGCGTGTGTGTGCGTGTGTGTGCGTGCGCGCCCATGGGGGTATTTGTGTTTACGTGTGCGTGAGGTCAAAGAAACTATTTCCATTTCTTCGCGCTTCGGTTGTGGTGGCATACAGTTCAGACTGCGCTCCCCCCGCGCACCCGCCTGCACTTGGTGGCTGAGGCCTCGGCCGGGGCTCACTGTCCTCCGAATTTATCGATGGCAATCTGTTCGCCTCGCAGCCAATAGAAGGCCGGGGTCCTCAGATAATCTCGCGTCCATGACGTCACCGGGCAGTCGGCCAGCGACTCCTTGAGCAGCGCAGCGCGCGGCATGATGAAGACCCTTCTTCCATTTTGGCGTGTCGGTGAAATACGCCAAGAACGAGATGTAAGCGAAATAAGAGGAATACGGACCGTGCCGTCTCTCTCGCACTCATGGACTGTTCCGTAGGGGTGCGAGAGAGACAGAGCGACAGGTGACGGCTTGGCGACGCGTCGCGCGGCAAAGCCTGTTGCCGTACAGCGACGCTGCACCGCGCGTGCGCGAACGTAAGAACACGTTCTAGGACCGGAACGCCGAGCCGCCCTTGGACTATTTTTGGCCCGACAGACGAAAAACGCGTCCCTAGAGCGGATGGGCGCTTCGTCGTTCTGGAAGCCTGCTGCCGAACAGGCTCTGTCTCTCTCGCACCCCTACGGAGCGCCCCGCGAGTGCGAGAGAGACAGCGCGACGAGCGCGCCGTTCGGAGCCAGCCTGCAGCGCGGCGTTTTTCGAACCGAGTCTGGAAAAGTGGCTGGACGGGTCCGTGCGGTCGCCGCTAGTGCGGCTAGTCGCTGCGTGTCCGATTCAGCCAACTAGTCTGGCTTTATCAAGCTGGCATTGGCTGGCCGTGCTCTAGCACCTCGCCCAACACGCATTCCCAGAACAAACCGAATTCCGGCGTCCGGTTGAATTCGAGATTAGTCGGGCAGACCACTGGCCTGCCTGGCCCGAGGCCCGGCCGGACCGCCCAACGCACCTGCTGGCATTGTCAACGCATCCCGCCTCACAGTGGACCGGTGGCGCGGCCAAAACTACTCTAGACGCGTTTTGAGCTCCAGAGTCGCCAAATGGGCCTCGAACCGCACGTGTGACCCCACCAATGGATTGCTCTCCGAACGAGGATTCCATTGGTGGGGTCACACGTCCCGTTCGAGTCCTGTTAAGGGACACTGCAGCTCAAAACGCGTCCAGAGTTTTGGCCGCTCCACCGGTCTTCTGGCCCACTGTGTGTCGAGAGCGTTGTATGATTAAGCGCAATTACCGCCAATCTCGGCCTCTGGCGGAGCGCGATAACGCGCACAGTGTCGCACACGACCTGCAGTGTACAGGGCGAGAACCGCATGGCGTACCCTTGGCCGCTGACTGGGGCTGAGGGGCTGGGGGCAGGGGCTCGCGTCAGTGCACTGCCGCTAATTGACCAGATTGGTAGGCTGTCTCGCAGTTCCAGAACCGGCTCGATATCTTTGTTTTTACAGAACTAACAGACGCCCCGCTTGTCTCATGAGGGTCGAGTTCACGCTCTCTACTTGCAAATAACCGTCGCTTGCTGCCATCATCGCTGCCTTTAGTGTCGCAACGCGGCAGCGGGATGACGCCAAACGCCACTCTGTCTCTCTCGCGCTCGTGGGGCGCTCCGTTAGGGGTGCGAGAGAGACAGCGACAATCAGCTCGCAGAGATGCGCGCTGCACTTGTAGGGGCTTAAGGACCGACTCTTCGTGATTGATCCCGTGGGTCGGTGACCTCACGGCATTGTTCTGCGAATAAGGGACTGCACGGCCGCGCTAACCATACGGGGCACGCCCACGCGGCGAGGGCGCAGTGGATTTGCCAGGAGACCGGCGCCGGCGGCCGAAACTCTTGACGCGTTTTGAGCTGCAGAGTCGCTAAATGGGACTCGAACCGAGCGTGTGACCCCACCACTGGATTCCTCGTTTGGAGAGCAATCCATTCGTGGGGTCGCACGTTCGGTTTGAGTCCCATTTAGCGACGCTGGGGCTCAAAACGCGTCCGAGATTTTGACCGCCTACCGGTCTTCTGGCCCACTGCAGTGCAGCCTGCTTGCAGTGTGCCCGCCGAGCCCGCCCAGAAGATGACGACGGGTTCGCCGATTACCTCCAGATACACATCTTTCTTTTTTGGCGCCGCGTCGCCGCGTCGTCGCCACTGCACTGCCAAGGTCCGCGCCGAAGGCGGACAGGCGGGGCAGTCCCGGGCGGGCCGACTAGGAAACGGAGGCCGCCGGAGAGTACGCCGGGGTGCCGGAGGGGACGGAGGGGGGGTGCGGATCTAGATCGGGCAGCCTTGTCCGCTTCCCCGAAAAGCTCGCCCACCCCGGCAAGGCGGCCAACGCCGCAAGGCTGGGATGGCTCGCGGGGGGCATGCGGGGCAACCCAAACAACGAAAGAAACGAAAAGAAAAAGAATGGATTCTATTTATGAAGAACGCACTGTTACTCCACCTCTGTACAGTCGAAACGCCGTTTCCACCATTTGAGGCTAGACGTCTGTCCCGGTCCGTCCCGGTCCGTCCCGGCGACCTCTGCGAGGCAGGGGCCTGGCCGGGGCCTGGCCGGGGCCTGGCCGGCGGCCGGCAGGACTAGGGGCCTGCATTGGTATTCTCCTCGCGGGGACGCGGCGACGCGGCGAGGGCAAGGTGCTGGCCCTTGCCCGCCCTTGGCTGCCCCGCGGGGGGCCTAGGGGGGCCCCGCCCCCACCCCTTCCTCGCCTTGGCCGCCCCCTTTCCCCTACAAGGTCCCCCCTCCCCTCCCCCTCCCCGTTCGGGGCCCATTGACACTGGCACGCCCCACGAGTGCGTGCGGCCATTGGGAGTGACCTCATGACTTTCACTCATGACTAGTCATTAGCGCCCAAAGGCCTAGACGACACCCAGAGAACCTCAGTGCCAAATTGGGTCTGCGACCAATACGTTACTTTTTGTTATTTTTTTTGTAGCGTGGTTGAAGCGTCGTCGTTCCAAGTGTGCAAGAAAATGGATCTCATGATCTCCGAAGTAAAGCATCCCTGTTGTGCAATCTTGCTCCAACCAAAATCTATGGAGAAATGACCCTCCAGAATATATCAATCGCCAATTCATGGAGGACTCTACCAGCGTATCTGCTTCTCGCAGCTACACAGCCATTAATTATCGGATGAGACCTGCCCTGGTGCAGCGACAGAAAGGGCCAAAAACAACTGGACAAAAACAACAACAAACGACAACTGGAGAAAAACTGCAACGACAACTGGAGAAAAACAACAACAGCAAGCATGGCTTCGCGTGCCACGGCGGATTATTTGAATTGCCCGCCCTGTGGTCTGCAGGCTGCTCGCCGCAGGCACGCTGTAGGCAGGGACGCAGACCATTTAGCGCGATTTAGCGCCAATGGCTTCCCGTCCAGCAAGTCACACTCTGCACACCACGGGCGGCGAGGCGAAAAGAAAAGAAAACCTCCAAGAGCAACAGGATGCATGTGGGGCCTCGCATAGTCGCAGGTTGAGTTTCCTGGCCGCCAAGTGATCGTCATCGTGCTCCCGTCAATAAGTAGTAGGCTGCGGCGCTTCGGCAACGCACTTCCCTCGGTTCCGCTATTTTCGGCTCGAGCTCGCCTGCCCCCAAATTGCAGGTGTTCTGCATCCGTTTTTACGGCGAACGCACTCGCGTGCTTCTGTCCGTGCGTCCGTCGTCTGTCTGTCTGTCTGTCTGTCTGTCTGTCTGTCTGTCTGTCTGTGTGTCTGTCTGTCTGCAGGTCTGTCTGTTTGTTTACCTCCGTCAATCTCTGCGAGACAGCAGTCGATATTTCGTCTCCGAGTCAAAACAGGGGTCAGTCGTTTTGACACGTCATTTTGACACGTCATTTTGACACCTGTTGGGACAATCCCCGGCGACGCCCCTCGCACCTCGCAGTCAACGTGTTAATGATCGTTTGTTCGAATCAACGACACACCGCAAGTGCGGCAATGAAGCCTGGCTAGCGCGGCGCTACAATGGCAGCGGCGAGCCCGCCGGCGGGTTGGTAGTAAGTGATAACCAACCGCAGCGCGTGAAACAGCGCGAAAGCGTGCGCCGTCTCTCTCTCTCTCTCTCTCTCTCTCTCTCTCTCTCTCTCTCTCTCTCTCTCTCTCTCTCCCTCTCGCCACGCCGTGACCTTGGCGGCGCGCGGTCTCTCTCGCTCTTCCCTGGCTGGACGGACGGCAACGCACCGCCGCCGCCCGCAATATACAGTGTAGCCAACGGGATGCCGCGGATGCTGCTGCGAGTGATGCCGAAGTGGGAACTTTGGAACCGACGGGGGAGTTACTCCACCACATCAGCACATCCCTCTGTTGTGTGAGGCGACGCATCATATGGCTTGTTTTGCACTGATTGGTTGATTGATTGATCGATTGATCGATTGATTGTTTCACTGATTATTGCTTGATTTTCATTGATTCGTTTTATTTTATTCAAACGGAGGCAAAACGCAAACATCTGAAAATGTCTTATTGCTTGGTCAGCAGGTGCCGGCCGGTGAAGAAGAAGAAGAAGAAGAAGAAGAAGAAGAAGAAGAAGAAGAAGAAGAAGAAGAAGAAGAAGAAGAAGAAGAAGAAGAAGAAGAAGAAGAAGAAGAAGAAGAAGAAGAAGAAGAAGAAGGAGGAGGAGGAGGAGGAGGAGGAAGCGCTGAAGTAAGTAGACGGCACTTAGTTGCCTCAATGCCAAGGGCGTGCCAGGGCGGAGGCTGATGGCGAGCGCGGCGAGCGCTTGTTGTCCATCCCGAGAGGAATTGTTTTAGGCCGGCGCGTCCGGAAGGCAGCCGAAGGCAGCGCTTGGATCACGATCCGAAACACGCCAGCGTCGCACCTGCCGTCCGTCGTGCCGGAGTCCGTCTGCGGGAGTCTGGCTGCAGCAGGGCCATGGTCGGGCCGCCACCTTCCCGGCTTAAAAATCGGATTGTTTTCGCGTTGCCCCACGGCTCTCTGTCTCCCTCGCGGACTCAGGAAACGCCCCACAAGTGCGAGAGAGACAGAGCTGCGAAGACACTGATGAACCCGGCAGAGAAGCACAATGCATTGCGTGTTGTTAAGTTGGCAGCAGCGCCACCTAGCGGTCTTTACCTGTTGTACTACCACTTGTCTCTCGTCAATCAGTCAAGTGGGAAGTAACGAAGAGTCAACATCCAATCTCTCTTCAAGATAATCCGAGAAACTTTTCCACGCCGCTTTTCGGCGAGCGGAAGTGGCCGAAAAGAAAGAAGAGCCACGGTACAGCACACTGCCACGATGGCGGGACACAGTGGTAAATTTCACGTGCTGAATTTGTCATCCTCCGTTCCTTTCGTAATGACTCGAGTGGCGTCCGGATAGAAGTATGTCAGCATGCATATGCAATGTCAGAACAATCAGCAGGCACCTTTTTCTTTCCTTTTTTCTCTCCAAGAAACGCACAAGTCCGAATGAGCCGTTTCCGCCGTCCGGGGGATTACGGTAAAGCACTGCAGCCAACCTGCCGCCAATGGGTGACGTCACCTGCGTCTTTGTGTCTTACAGTGAAGATAGAAGAAAATGCGTTGGGGAATTGCCACTACTACAAGAAAGAGCGCAAAGTTTTATTGTTGGTAAAAATGGTTCAGTACGCTCAGTTATAACCTGTGTGATTTTACAGTGCACCGAAGAAGCGGACCGGCCGCACCCATATACGATCTGGCACGATGACGAAGATGGTCTAGGTCTGGCTGAAATGTCAACGAATGCTCCGCCGTGGCTGTGCCGTGGCTGTGCCGTGGCTGTGATAGCCGAGCCTAGCGCGGCCCGGCGTTGCCTAGCGCTCTCTGGCGGCGTCTGACGTCAGGCAGGGGTTTAAGCGGGGCCACAGTGGCACTAAAAGCCCTGGCAACTTGTCTCAGGTGACACTCGCGCGGCCGAGCCGTCCGCACCCATGAGGGTACCCGAATTAGACGCTTTGGCAACATGCCCTCGCAGGTTTGGTGATGAACTACGGCTTGTTTTTCTACGGCTGCCCCCTCCGCCTCCCCCGGAACTACAAAACTGCCTTCTGTCCTTTTTTTCGGCGACGAGCCCAGCCGGCCCGGTGGCGGTGGTGGGCCGCCCGTGGCGTCTTGGCGCGTCTTGGCGTAGCGGCCGCGGCGATTCGAAGACCAGCGGCCAAGTTCAAGGTTCAAGGGCGAGGCGGGCCGAGAATGCGGCTTTTGGTTTTGTTCGTTCTTCGCCAGCGCGTTTTTCGCGTGGATGCAGAAGGAGGCGCGTTAGCCACGCGGTTAGCGCGGCGGACTCTGGAGGCGCGCGTCGTAGGTTCGGTACTCACCTCCGTCGTGGACTTCGAGGCGCTCCAGCTGCGCCAGGAAGCGCTCCCGCTGGCAGGACCCGGGGTCCGAGGACGCCCAGGGCTCGGCGCAGGGGTCGATGGCCGCCGTGTCGCGCACCATGCCCTCGACGGCGTCCTGGACGGCGTCCTGCACGGCGACCTCGGCGTTGCAAGCCGGGTCCAGGACGCAGGCGGCGGCGGCCACGGTCGAAGAGTTGTCGTCGTTGAGCCCGGAAGGCCCCCAGCCCCACGCGTGCACCGCGAGGAGGGCGGAGCTCAGCAGGACGGCGGTGGCGGCCACCAAGCACCCCGTGCCGCACGAGCGCCGAGCACCGCGCCGAGCAGCCATCACGGCGACCTGCAACACGACCACGCGGTCAACACTCGTCGAGGCCCTTGCCCTCCTCGCCCTGCCCGGTGTTGAACTCGCCCTGTCACTCGTCCGTTCCCAGCCTAGTCGGGCCTGGTGCACAGCCTGTCTGCATCTCGAGAGCAGCTGCCGCCCGGTTCGAAGCCGCCCAGGTTAAAGTCCGGCCCAAGCCCGGCCAAAGCCCGGCTAAATTCGATCCATCCAAAGCTGGAACGGGATATGGCATGCCCAGGACCGGTTCGTTTGGGCGGAGGCTGGGCGCCCATTGGTGGAGCGCGGCGCGCCGACTCGCCTCTGCGACAGGCTCGCGTCTAGCGCGTCTAGCCGACCACTAGACGGCACCCACGAGCGTCTAGACGCGGGACGAGCTCTCCAAAAGCAGTGACTCGGCAACGCAGAGATGCCATAACAACACGCAGACACTGAGCGGAAATTCACCCTAGAGTCTAGGGCCTAGTCAGCAACAAGCTAGCCAACTCGACAGCGTCTTACCGGGCTTCCCCAGCTTCCCCAAAGCCTCCCTAAGGCATACCCCTAAGAAAACCTTTACAAACTATTTTGGGCCTTACAAAGAAAAGTAGTTTGTTATAACAACGTATTTTGAGCATACATAAGCTTACAAAGAAAATACTTCGTAATTTACGATCTATTTCTTCGTAAAACAAAGTAAATTAGTTTGTCATAAGTATGCTCAAAATACTTCGTGAGGTTTTAAGAGTGCCCAAAGCCTCCCCAAAGCCTCCCCAAAGCCTCCTCAAGGCCCCCAAAGCCGTACTGCCGTTCCAGTAGTTCCAGTTGGGACTCCAGGAAGCCCGGCCGGCAAAGAACGAGTGTGCAGCCCAGCCGGTGCGGTCTGCGTGCCCTGCGGTGCCCTTGAACTTGCCCTACAAATGGACCGCCCAGTTCGGCCACACTGCCAAACCGCAAGCTGCTCATGCAGCGCAGTGACGCATCGCGCTGCAATGAGGGGGAGAGACAGACCGAGTCAGACAGACAGACAGACAGACAGACAGACACACAGACAGACAGACACACAGACAGACAGACGGGGGCGACATCATCCAAACTTGTCATGAGAAACTTGTGCGGAGGTTTGCCAAGGGTGAGGCATGAGGGGTGCCCATTCCAGGTTCGAGGCTCGACACTCATCAATGACTGTGTTGCGCGCGCTTGCGTCACAACGCGCAGATCATTGCGTCTGAAACGGGAAAGGCGTTGCCGAAGCGATAACAGTAAAAGTAAAGACGTTTCGAGCGTCGTCCGCAGTGCCTCGGCTCAGCCAGGCGGACGGACGCACAGTGGGCCAGAAGACCGGTGGAGGCGGCCAAAACTCTAGACGCGTTTTGAGCTACCCGGGTCCAAAAGGGGCCGCCCGGGCCATTTGCTTCCGCCTCCTGGGGCCCATTCCGGCCGTTCCGGCAAACGCGGAGCCAAACGGTCAAGGCCGACCTGTCCTTTTGTCGGCGAGGCGGTGGCGCAACCCCTTGTCGCGAATTAAAACCACCCCTTCGGCCGACATGTGCCGAACCCACAGTCGGGCCAGGAGACCGGCGGAGGCGGTCGGAAGCCCGGACGCCCCCCTTTTTGGCCTTTCCCGGAGCCGCAGAACGGTCAACAGAACGTGTGACCCCACCGCAGAATTGCCTTCCCCAAAAGGGAACACCACAGTGGGCCAGGAGTTCGGCGGGGGGTTTCCCCAGCTTTTGAGCTCCAGAGCCGGAACGGGCTCACAGAAAGGTTGTACCGGGCCCCCACCGGTCTTGGTGGGTCACATGTTGGCGGAAAGGCTCGGCTGGCGCGTCATTCCCCTTTTCCCCCTTTCGGGCGTGGTGCCTAGCCGTCGGGGGCCGCCGCACTTTCGGCCTACATACGTGTCGGCCTGTCGGCCAACCGGTCGGCTGGGTGGTCGTCTGGCCGCGGCCTGGGCTGTTGACCGCGGCCACCGGCGGGGAGTGGCGGGGAGTGGCGGGGAGTGGCGGGGAGTGGCGGGGAGTGGCGGGGAGTGGCGGGGAGTGGCGGGGAGTGGCGGGGAGTGGCGGGGAGTGGCGGGGAGTGGCGGGGAGTGGCGGGGAGTGGCGGCCGCAAAGTCGCCCGGCCCCGGCGACGGCCGCAGCGGCGACGGCCATGCGACGCGGGGCGCGGCCGGCGGGTCCTTCCGAAGGCCCTCCCCGTCGTGGACGTCGTCTTGGTGACGCACCTCGGCATCCTCGCCTCCCCCTCCCCTTCTCTGTTTATTCACGGCCCTGGTAAAACGGCAGCACACCGCCGCACTGACCGAGTGCCACACTTAAGGTAACACTGAGAAAACCTTACAAACTATTTCAGGCCTTACAAAGCAGAGCAGTTTCTTAGAACAAAGTATTTTGAGCATACATAAGCTTACAAAGAAAATACTTCGTAATTTACAAACTATTTCTTCGTATAACAAAGTAAATTAGTTTGTACGAATGTATGCTCAAAATACTTCGTAAGGTTTTAAGGGTGAAGCTAGCTTAATAACTCTTCGGTTTCGATCAAAGCCTAATGACCACTGTGCTGACCATTTTTCGACAGCATCTGTGCCAACACAGTTTAATTGGGATAATTTTTAAAATTCCACGCAAGGGACCCAGCGCGGCGCCTAGCGGGGGACCTAGCCCGCGGCAGGACGCGCATCAGGATGTGGCAGGTTGCTCGGTTGCGACATCCTCGCACATGCCGGGCCGAGCCGAGCCGAGCCGAGCGGCTCCAAGACAACACCCACGGGCCTGGCATGGCCGGCATGGCTGGCGTGCGTCCCAGAATGGCTAACCTTTCCATTGATCCATGGTTTCGGAGCCAGGCCGAGGCAGGCCGAGGCAGGCAGACAGGCCTCGTCTAGCGCAAAGCGGCGCAGAGCCCGCCGCTGCTCGGGCTCTACAGTGTCAGGGTGTCAGGGTGGGTGCGTGCTTGTGTCGGGCCAAATGGTTCATCTCAGGGGTTCAGACGGGTCAGGGAAGCTCGGGGAAAGCAAGAAAAGACAGCTGGAAGAGACAAAACCACCCACGTAATTTTGTTGTTTGGTTGTACGTTTGGCCCCTCGATCATCACGAAAACATAAACAAAACAAAGGAAGCTAGAGAAATGAGTTTCCGAATTCCCTTTCTTTGGGTGCTTGGACCTCGGCTTCCCTTCTGGGGAGGGCCATGACCGCTCGGGTTGACAAGGTTGCGCCCTTGCCCCCCCCCCCCCCCCGCGCTGGCACCGCTTCAACGACCCCGCGGCACCCACCGAACAGTGTCTTTCTGTCTCTCTCGCACCCCCACGGGACGCCCTATCAGTGCGAGCGAGCCAGTGAGACGGAGCGACGAAAGCACTGTGCGGATCATCGCCCAGCACACCGCGCGCTCTCTCCCGCACTCTTGGGGCGGCGCGCGGGGTGCGAGAGAGACAGCGAGACAGCGCATCTGCCCCTACCTTTCCTTTCTTTGGCGGGAAAATCGAAACGACGCGTGTTGCGTCACTGTAGGAAGCGAGCGCGGCGCCATACCACTGCGAAGTGGCAAAGTGGCAGAGTGGCATGCCAGTCCGATAATTATAACGACCTGGCGATTTAACGACGGCCCCGCCGGCATGGTCGGCAGCGATTACCTCGGTAAAGGATAGAGCGCGCGAGGGGTCGTCACTCCTACACTGTCGAAACTAAGTTTTGACGTTTTGCTCAAATCGCCCACCATTTCAACTTTTGACAAGATGCTGCTGAGCAATTCGTCATGTCAAAATGATATCACCGAGATAGCCGACCTCGTCGATTTGACTTGACTTGTTTGCAGTGTGGAGTGCTCTATCTTTGGGCGCCGGACTCCCGGGGGAGGGGGGACGAACGTCATAGCGAGGGAAGGCCCTAGCTACTGTGGCGCCGCGCGTTCAACTTCCCTACAGGGCGAAACGGAAGGGATTAGCCACGCGGAAGACAGTCTTCAAACCAGAGAGACGCAATTGTCAGCGGAAACAGAACCGAGCGTGAACGAAGCGGCGTGCAGATACCGAGTAACAGGCCAACGGTCATCGGGCGTACACGGTAAATAAAATTGCCGTCACTACATACATGAAAAAAAGATGGACGACAATTTTTGTTGCAAATTCATGACTATTGTCATCAAGTCTCCCACGTTAATTTTGTGCAGCTAAGCCGATCTAAATGGGTGGACACGGGAAGATGAGCCTTGAAATGGTCATCAACCGAAGAGCAGATTTTCACCACCGGAAAGAGCGGGTATCGGGCTTTTCCAGCGCCTCTACGCCGTGTGCGATGCCACGCATGCGTCTGCAGATGCCACAGTGCCGTTCCGAGCACCGCCTTGCGTAACCTCTTCACGACCGCACAATGGTCACGCATGGTTAATCAATGGTCAGCCTCTTTCGGCCCGGAAACAATGCGCTCTCACTCTCACCGATGTCACACGGCCAGAAAAACATGTTCAAAGTCGGGGCGCTAACGACTTGTCCAAAATTAGTGCTACAAAGTCTCTCTCTGTGGCATCGACTTTGAACTGGGCAAAGAGGAGAAGCTGCCGAATGTTTTCAGGGCCGGGCGCTAACCACTGTCCGAATTAGTGCTGCCAAATATTTTGCAAGCTGGACAGCCACGGCGCCGTGGAGCGCGCGGTGCGAGCACCGCCACCCAACGAAAGCCAAAGCTGTGTACTCAGCCAGGCGCTTAGCTGGGTGGGGTGAGTCCAGCAGAACTTGTAAGCCGCGCAGCTACTAGAAACTAACCTCAACTACACCATCAAAAAAGGTAAATCAGATCCACTAAAACTCACTTGACTTTCGTCGTAGATTCGACTTAGATTAAATCTTGACGAAGAATAAGTCAACTCGACAAAAGGCAACAGGTTTTTAGTCGTCGTTTCGACATGGCATTTTTTACGGTGGGGCTCTTTTTTCCTGCTTGAGTGCACTGCAGGCTACGAAACGGTCGCCGCGGACGCAGCCTTTTTTTCCGTGAGTGCAGCGCACTGTCCGGCGGCCCGGCCAGCAGGCTCATTCCGAGAGTCGTCGCTCTGTCTCTCTCGCACTCATGAGGCGTCCCGCGTAGGTGCGAGATAGCGACGAAAACAACTCTCTCTCGGAATCAGTCTGCAGTGTCAATACCTCCAGCACGCTGGCCGCGCTGGCTGGGCCGCACAGTGGGCCAGAAGACCGGTGGAGGCGGTCAAAATCACGGTCGCGCTTTGAGCTCCAGAGTCGCTTAACAGGACTCACCGACCGTATGACCGCACCCATGGATTGCTCTCCGAACGAGGACTCCATTGGTGGGGTCACACGTTCGGTTCGAGTCCCATTGAGCGACTCTGGAGCTCGAAACGCGTCCGGCATTTTGACCGCCTCCGCCGGTCTTCTGGCCCACTGCGGGCCGAGGGGCCCGCGCTAATCTGCCCCTTCCCCTTCCGCGAGCTGTCGTCGTTTTTGTGCCTTCGGGCCTTCGGGTCAGCCGCCCACACCTTAATTGTAGGCTGCCAGGACAGGCTCCACCAGTGGAGGCGCCGCCGCGGAGGCTCTGCCTGTTGCGACGCTTTGCAATTATTGCAACACGTACGTTTATGACTGCATGGATTCGCGATCGGCATTGCGTTGCTTTAGCACGCTTTAGCACGCTTTATCCTCGGCACCGCCCTGCTGCACAGTGTCGTCGCTCTGTCTCTCTCGCACCCCTCCCTGAGGGCAGCGGAGACAACGACGAGGCGAGCAGAGGTCCGTAAGTCAACTGTGGAGCCCTGGCCATTTCAGCGCCCGTACTATGCACAAAATAACATTACTGAACTAGTGGTTACATCAAACTGACTGAAATTCGGTTGATCTCGGTTACCGCTACGGCACGAAACAGTGGCGTCGGAAGTCCCTCTCGCTGGGGGGGGCTCAAATATTTTTAAAAATCCTTAAGCGCGACCCCCCCCCCCCCATTTTACGTGATACTTACAACAGGTCAAATTTTGTTTAAAGAGAACAATAGTGCGTGCCTATTTTAATCCAAAGGTACTCCTGCACAGGTTTGCACTATGAATATTTGTCTAAGAAATTTAAGGGGGGGGGGGTAAAGCGAAATTTCGAATTTTTTCATGTTTTTTCAGCCTTCTATTCTTAGATATTGGTCACCCTGACATGAAAATGGACATCACCATTGGATTCTCCATGCCTTTTTACCATTTTACCATCTTTGGTTGGGGGTCTGGTGGCACTTTTTGAATTTTCGCAAACATTTTACATTTGGTCCATATTTGGGTTTTAATCCTTGCGCGCAGGATTTCAATTCCAAATGTTGTCCCAAAAATCTGACGAAGTTGCCACATCTTTAAGGTCAAAATGAAGAAGACAAGGGAGCCGGATTTCAAAAACATGTTTTCTTTCGCTATGAATCTTAAAAACTAGAATCATGACTGTTTTTATGCCGCTTTTGGACATTCATTGACCTGTAACTAAAGATTGAGACAAAATTTTGAAAAAAACTCTCCCTTGTCTTCTAGCTATTTGAACACTGATCATTTTAAGCTGTCGCACAACATTCTACCTCTTACGGTCTCCGAGATATCCTGCGCGCAAGGTCAAAAAAAAAAGATACCGAGGAAAACCGGTTTAAAGTTAAAGGGCCTAACCTAACCTCACAGTGATTGTACGAATTAGAAGCTCCCTGTGCCGATTTGACGGTGCTGTGGGTCGAAATATGGTCAGGTTTGGTTGTACCAAGGCCCAAAGAGTCGAAAAAAAGCAAAAACCGAAAATCGATTTTCTTCACTTTACCCCCCCCTTAATGTAAAATTTGCGGTTGTTTTCTCTTTAGATTTTCAATGTTTTTGACATGGTATATATTCATGGACTGTGAACGACATGTTATTGCATAGAAATAAAGTCACTTCGAAAAGCTACTTCAAAGTGCGAGCGAAGCGAGCTTCAAACCAACGACGTTTGTTTACTTTTAACTAAAAGATGAAAGCAAGGAGCATGCTTTGAAATGTCCATTTGTTCGTGGCGTGGTTGCTGCGACACGTCAAGTCGCCTCCAGGAGCGTCCAATAGCGTTACGCGCAAAAATTAAATATGGCCATCGCTCCGCTCGGGCCAAAAAATGGGGGGGGGGGGGCTCAGCCCCCCCTGGCTGGCGATGGGGGGGGGGGGCTCTGAGCCCCCTCGTCACCCCACTTCCGACGCCACTGGCACGAAACGCCCCCAGACTCGTACCGCCGAACAGGACGCGGTCCAAGGCTCCTTGCAGCACGGTGGCTGAGTCCGTGTCCGGTCCGGGGCGCCTCCCAGTGGGCCAGAAGACCGGTGTAGGTGGCCGAAACTCCAGACGCGTTTTGAGCTCCAGAGTCGCTAAATGGGACTCGAACCGAACGTGTGACCCCACCAATGGATTCCTCGTTCGGAGAGTAATCCATTGGAGGGGTCACACATTCGGTTCAAGTCCTGCTTAGCAACTCAAACCGCGTCCAGAGTTTTGACCGCCTGCACCGGTCTTCTGGCCCACTGTGGGGCGCCCAGACGCCAGTCACCTGCAAGTTACCCACCATTGGTCTTCGACGCTGCGACGCGTTTCGCGCGTTTTGCGTGCGCCCGGCGCCCAAGTCGCTCGACACTGGTCGCTACGCGGCGACGCGGCGACGCGGCCGGGGCGGCGGGTCGGGGCCGCGCTCTTTCCTAACGCGCCGCGCAGCAGGTTCGGCCGTCTCTCTCGCACCCACACAGAGCGCCCAGTGAGTGCGAGAGAGACGCCCCAGTGTCCTGGGCTCTGTTCGCCGGCCGCGCCTCCGGGCGGATACTAGTGTGACTCTTGAGTCGTTTCCTAACGACTCTCTGTCTCTCTTTGTCTATCCCTCTCTTCTAGACACGCGACGTCTTACAGTGGAACGCGGCAGTGTTCACGATCAGATCCGCCGGGGAGGCGGGTCCACGCCACTGCGAGGCGAAGTCCGAATTTCTGCCGACTGAACGACTCGCCTCACTCCTTGGCATTCCCCCGAGCCTTCGAGACCGACCGCTTGTTGTGAGTACCGTGTACTGAGTACTGAGTACCGAGCACTGAGTACTGAGCACTGAGTACTGAGTACCGAGCACTGAGTACTGAGTACCGAGCACTGAGTACTGAGCACTGAGTACCGAGCACTCAGTATCGAGCACTGAGTACCGAGCACTGAGTACCGAGCACTCAGTATCGAGCATCTGCGCAGACGATTGCACCCGAAAAAGTCGTCTCGTCGCCTATCTCTCTCTCACCCTTAATCGAGGGGGCATGCTTAGGGGTGCGAGAGAGACAACTGCATACCTGTTGGTTTGTTGCGATGCTAATCCAGGTGGTCGCGAAAGGTGTTGTTAATCACTCTCACTGTCAAACGGCCCGGCGAACTGACTGGCCAACTGGCTGGCCAACTGACTGGCACATCGGGGAGCACACTGGAGGCGCACAGGCAGCCGGTCGACTGCGGACTCCAGAAACACTGGCGTGCTATCAAGGCGATGCAGCGCGCCGCGCAGACCCACTAGGCCCCCGCGCCCTCCGCCACGGGGGGCCCGGTGGGGGAGGGGCGGGGCGGGTGAGGTGGGGTGAGGTGGGGTGGGGTGGGGCGCGGCGGGGCGCGGCGAGGTGGGGTGGACCAGACTGAGCCGCGAGTCTCGGTGTGGACGCTGCACCTTTCTGTGAAATGAGACAAGAATTTTCTACCGCTTTTCTAGCATTCAGGAAAAAAAAACTTATGGAAAATTGCCAAAATTGTGCACAAAAATGTCATAATTCTTTAAAATTTTGTGGGTGTTTTTCAAGCAACCCTCTGGTTAGAGATTTTTCTGAAATTTTTTGTTATCTGGAAATCAGGCGACTCGATTGAGCACTGTGCTGTGGGTGAAGATGTTTTTAAAAATAAAATACAAAAAATGGTTACATGGTTTGTCAAAATACAAAAAAAAGTTACATGCTTTATCACTCCGAATGTCCAAGGCGTGAGAATCTGCCGGCCGCCCCCGGCGTCTTTGACTCGGACCGCAGCTGCCATCTCTGTCCGGTTGGATCGCCGTTATTTCTGATAAGGGCTGCAGTGGGAGTCTAGGCCGTTTCTCAAGGCCGTGGGAGCTCCACTTTGATTCGATATCAGGCAAATGGAGCAAAATAATCTTACAGTTTTACGCATGTTCAAAATGTGACACAGTATAAACACAACTGTAAAAATAGTGAAGATTACATTAATTTTCTTACCTTGTTACTTTGTTGCAAAAGTATTGAAGTAAGAACCTTTCGAAGTATTTTGAGCATACGTGAAAACTTTTTGTTTCGTCAGTCGGAGTATCTATGAAAGTGTGTTGCGAGGCGCATTGTAGGTTCAAACAAGAGCGCACCTGCCAAGTTCGTCTGATTTACCTCGAGAGTAGCCCCTTCGCTCTTGAGAAAACTAACCTAGCTGGATCTCTGCGGAGGGAACGAGACGCAAACTGACGGAAAAAGAGAGGGAGGGGGTCGACCCTGTCGAGGCTGGCGTGGCAAGGCGGTCTGCTGGCCAGTCGATCTGACTGGGCAATGACTCCAGTGCATGTAGTCTCGCAGAGTGGCAGTCAGGTGACGCACTACCCGACAGAGAGAGAGACAGACAGATCATGGCTATGCTGCCGGCGAAGTCTCTACTTTTCCCTCGACTGGGTGCTATTTTGAAGATCACGTCCGCAAGCGAGCATTAGAGCTAATCTTTTTACTTTTAATTGAAAAACGAAAAAAATTTCATGTGAGAAATGTTGAACACTGATCCAGGGTGAGGTCTGCTTGAGCTCCATGCTTTCTTGCCGGTACTTGCGCGGCCGACGCGTTTTTGGGGCAAAAACGGCGAGTGTTCCATCGCACACTCTCAGTCTCGTATTGACTTTTTATCTCTTGCCAAAAAGTTGGCTACTTATGCATTACTTTGTTCATTGTATAATGTATTTAGTCCATTAAACCTGACTTTTTGTCATTTCCAATGTACTTATCAATTTCTACATGATCTATCGACAATTTTGTCTTTAAAACGATCAAAATTGTGCATAGTTAAAGAGAAAATAGTACATTTGACGTTGCTCAAAGAACGTTGTACGCAAGAGAGAAAAAAGTCCATATAGGTCTGGGAGTGCACGACCACACGCGGAGGGTGCGTTCACCTCCACGCTTGCGACACTATCGCGAATGCACCCACCGATGGTCAATGTTGCGGTCATCCCAGGGGTCAGTACCGCGTCCAGGGTGGACCGGCGGCGCCTGGCTCGGCCTGGCTCGGCCTGGGTGCGCTCCAGTCGCCGTCTCTCTCGCTCTCGCAGATCCGGCCGGCGGTTTTCGCGCGCGGCCCGCCCGCCGCGGTCGCGTGCGGTCGCGGGTAAATTTGGGTCAAGATGCTGCCCGGCGAAAACCGCGCAGGTGGTCCGAATTGCCGGGCAGTTGCGACAGTTATGGGTGACTTGATGTCCCAACCGCCACGCCCCGCCGCACGGCACGCCAGTCAACTTTTCGAGGTGTGAAGTACCGGCGCGGTGCTGCCGCTCGGGGTGTCAATTGGCTTCACAAAGCTGCGCCGGACCTTGCGCTCATTTTTTACTTTTTCTAAGTTTAAATGTTTTTCTTTTTTAATTTTTTTAATGACGGGATGAGAGAGTAGACAAGACGCCACTGGATTGGCCGCGGCGTCGTTTTCGTCGGGTCCACACGTGTGGTGCCACCGGCGTCAACGTGGAAGTCAACAGCACCACTAACTCGCCTTCCGTCAACTATTTACGTCAACAGATTTACGGTCCAGCGATAAACGTGTTATTTCGCCCAAATTCAAATCACTAATCTCCCCGTTCAATTTCCGTGGGAACCTCGTTTTTTCTTGAAACTCTGAGAGGATCCTGACAGAAGGCGTCTCCGGTCTCTAAGGACAAGACAACAACAACAACGACAAAAACGGCGAGGAAACAAAATGAGTATGTCTCCGGGAGTCGAATCGTGCCTTCCCGATGCCAGACCGGTCGCTGGTTGGCCGGGCTGGCCGGGTCGGCCGGGGATGCGTCGAACGAGGCGTGGCGCGTGCCATGAACTTCAAGGAGGACCACAAACTGGGATTCAAGGGACTCAGTCATGGACATGCAGGCTCATTGTTTCACTTTTGGCGTCGCCCACTGCACCAGTCAGAGCACTCTCAAAAATACCGCAAAAAAGTATTTGGAAAAATTTGTGAATTTTCAGTAAAACTTGTCGACTGAAATTCATCTGATTTTCTCAGTTGTCGTTTCTTTCGAATGGATTCTTTTTTCCACCACGCGTTCGCAGTAGTTTCTTCTTCATAAAAAATTAACTGCAGGCAATCTCATTAATTTGGACGCTGCCAAAAATTTAGTTGTTATAAAGGAGCTTCGACATCATTCAAATGGACAAGCGCGTCGGCACAAACCTCTTTCATCCCACATCCAAATTTGTTTGTCCGCAGCCAACTTTTCATTTTGGCAGTCTTCCAGCCCAAACTAGCCCATTTTGTCTATACTCAGTGGTTATTTTTTTTCGTCTGGGAGGTCTCCATGAGCTCTTCAAGCCCTGTCGTAGATTTTTTTTACCCGTTTGATTGCGAGTTTTAGCCTGACATCCAAAGAACAGATTATTCTGCGTAAGTGTTACTTTTGCTCCAACGACCGTCCCTTATGAGAGAACTGCTGAAGCGCATCGAGGTGCGTACTTGTCCCGCGGCATTTGGTTGGTACCCCGCTGGAGACGCAGAGCCAGTGCAGTGCCCGCATCAGCACCCCGCTGACGTCACGCCGCGGAGTACATGCTCAACGCCACGCAGCTCGCCGGTCTGTCTGTCCGTCCGTCCGTCCAGCTCGATTCACCCGGAACACTCGCCGGCCACTGAGAGGTACACGTTGCGACTGTGCCCGCTGGGCACAACACCTACAACGCGACGGCGCTGTGCACGCTTAAAACCTTGCGAAGTCCGTAGAGGGAAGCAGGGAGGCGGCCAAAACTCTAGACGCGTTTTGGGCTCAAGAGTCGCTTAATGGCACTCGACCCGAACGTCTGACCCCACCAATGGATTGCTCTCCGAACAAGGAATCCTGGTGCGGGTCACACGTTCGGTTCGAGTACCGTTTAGCGACTATGGAGCCCAAAACGCGTCTGGCCACCCCCACCGGTGTTGTGGCCCACTGTGGGCTCGCCGTCTTCGTAGGACGGAACCCGGACGCATCCCGAACGGAAGCGTGGCGCGGCGATTGTTTGCAAAGCAGGAGACCCCTCCGCTAATCACGCGTTCAAACAGGACGGAAAAAAGTGGAGGAAAAGCGAGAGAGAAAAACAACGGCGCCGAACAAGCAGTGATTGGATTGGGTTTGCCAGCGATCAATGAGCCAATGAACCGGCAAACAGGTGTCTGGCGAAACAAGTCGCTTTTTGCACTCTCACTGGCAATCTTCCTCTATGCTTGTTGTCGCGTGGCTGCGGTCTGCGGACAATATCGGAAGCCTGTTGCCAACGACGGAGCTTCTTTTGTCTCCCTCGCACCGCGCCGGCGACCGTGTGACTGCAAAATATAGCGGGCATAGCTGCTCCGCCGCGCTCCGCCGGCAGGGCAGGGCTGACACCCCGGCCACCGTCTTGGGGGCGCTTCGTTGCCGGCGGCGCTACATGAGCTGGCGTTTTCGGCGGCAAAGTGCGTCAGAGATGAAGATGCACTCTGTGAGTCAGCATGGCACGGTGGGACAGAAGACCGGTGGAGGCGGCCAAAACTCCGGACGCGTTTTGAGCTCCAGCGTCGCTAAATGAGACTCGAACCGAACGTGTGACCCTATCAACGGATTGCTCTATGCACGAGGAACCCATTGATGGGGTCACATGTTGGGTTCGAGTCCTGTTTAGCGACCCTGGAGCCCGAAACGCGGCTAGAGTTTTGTCTGCCTCCACCAGTCTTCTGGCCTTCTGTGCTTGGACACCTCCGTGGCGGGGGTGGCGGCGCTGACTCAATGGCAGTCGTGGCAGTCGTGTTGGTAAGGTTAGACAGAGAATGACATGTGAACTGAAGAGAGCCTTCGAAAGTGCAGCAAATGCAGTCACTTCCAAACCGAGTAAAATACTTTTGGTGAATGAGAACAACGTTGTACTTCCGTTCCCTCACTATGTGCGAAATGGGGCTGTTGTTGTTTACTACTTGCCCCGCGAAGGCCACTCATCACTCATCACATACGAATTCCAGCTAAACCTATTCCGGTGCGTGATTGTATGGGGTGGTGTAGTGTCTCGACGGTTACTCTATCGATTTCTGTCACGTTGGTGTCAAGTCCCTTGAGTTGCTGAATGTCGAATCTAATTCATTCTCCTCGACTCTTTCTCCGCTGGGTTCATTCATACATTTTGTTGGCGAGGCGGGCGAGTGGTTGGCAATGCACTCGATCGGCGGAGAGGCAGTTTGACCTTGGCTGCCTTGGATGAACTCGCCAGCTAACGAGCAGGGCCTTATAAGAGTGTTCGTATTGGATCTAGTTTTTCTTTGGCTCGAGGAGTCCAATAATCTATGTGACACAGTACAAAAGAATTTGTCGGAATAGGCTGCTGTTTTTTTTTCTGGGCACTGTTACTTTCTTAGAAGAAAATAAGTTCCCGTTTCCCGGCCCCAGTTTTCTTGGTCTGGGTCATTGGATCTGATTTTCGAAAAAGAAAAGGCGGGAATGTATATTTCACTGTGCGCCATCGCCAGTGGCGACGCTCAGCGCCTTGTCGTAGTGGCGTGCTTGCTGGAAGTAAGTTGCTCGTTGTGAATATGCACTGCGACACTCGGACCGGCACGGCCACGGCGGCACGGCCACGGCGGCAAGGCGCTCCGGGTCCGAGACCGTGTTCTCTGAGGTCAACAGAAGCCGCCAGGCAGGTGCGTCGCGGTGCGTGATCTAGCGCATGATCCGTGCAGTCGCGCGAGGCAAGGGCGGCGGCGGCGCGCTCTGGCGGCAGACCGCCGCACCACGCGGGGCCACGCGGGGCGCGCCCCGTCCAGGGCTGCCAACGCTTTGTCCCCGCCGCTATTAATGGCAAACGGATGCGGACAGGACGAGCACGTACCTAAACGGCGGCCTAGTCGGAGGCGTCGCCGAGAGGTGTGTCTCTTAAGGTCGCTTTTCCAGTCCGCGCCAGGAAGACGGCGGGTCAAACGGCGCCGCTGTCTGTTCGCCAGTCTGCCAGTCAGTCGAGAAACGTACATAACACCTGCATGCCCAATTTTAGAAAAGTCAGATGTCCTCCCTCATCTTGTCATATTTAAATCCCGCAATAAAAACATTTTATAAACTATACTGTCTGTCTGTCTGTCTCTGTCTATATGGCCAACATTCTAGCTCTTTCGGTTCGGTCCGTTTCGTTGTCTGCCTGTCTGCCCGTCTGTCTGGCTTACCCGACACCGCCTCGCCGCGCCGACCCGGGCGTGGGCGGGTGTCTTAGGCCCTCCTCCGGGCGGCAGATGAGTCATTATTTCAAACGAGCCTGTTGCAAACTATTTCATTTGGCTTCTGGCGTTGCGTTTTTGCGGCCAAACACCAATAAACAACCGTGCTGAGTCACACGTTGCGTGTAGGTCTCTCTGTGTGTGAGAGAGGGAATGACCGCGCGCGCGTGCGTGAGTGTGTGTGTGTGTCTGTGTGTGTGTGTGTCCGCGGGTTGGTGTGCGTGCGAGCACCGGCGGCATAACCGCAGCGAATAACTTATCCCTAACCCACATTATACTTGGCACATGGCCGCCTTAAAGTTGTCGGTGGGTCTCGAAATCGGTCCGACTCGCCGCGCTAACGCCGGGCTAACGCACGGACTAACTGCAATCGCGCCTCTTAATTACTAGGAATGCAGAAAAAAAACATCAAAAAACAAGGTGGGTCTGCCTCGCCGCCCGCCACCACCGGATACTGGCGGCAACACCACTGTAAAACGCGATGGTGGGAAAAGGGCATAGGCAAAGCGGTGTGTGGTGGGGCAAGCTCTGCCACTCGTGCGTCACCGGAGTCACAAATGCCGCATTTTGTCTTCTGCAGCTGTCACACACCTTACAACACACTGGGATCCTCAGGCACACACACACACACACACACACTAACGACACGCGCCCGCCCGCACACACGCACACACTCACGCGGCCGAAGGACGTGACTCGGAGCACGATAAAGTGTGTGTGTGTGTGTGTGTGTGTGTGTGTGTGAGTGTGTAGCATCACGAACGGTTGATCGGGATCTTAAATGATGAGGCACAGAGCAGGAAGGGGACGGGCGGAGGGAGAGGAGAAGGGAGTAGAAGCAAAAGGGGGGGGGGGAGGAGAAGACGCGAACTCCTTTCGTCTATTTTTAACGACCGAAAGCGTGGATGACACCGGTAGTTTACGATGAGACAATTTTAACCTTTTCTTCTTTTTTTGCGAATTGTGCTGCGTTGTGACGGGAAGCCTATTGGTGAGTGGCCTCGACCATGACCATCGCGGATTTCGCGCCTACGCTGCCTTCACCAGCAGCCACGCGGAACTTCCAGCAGTGCTGGACACTATGAAGTTTTGTCTTTCGTCTCGCCCGGCCGGGCACGGGTCACACACGGGTCGCGCCTACACACCTAGAAGCACACACACTTGAAAAAAAAGCCACACAATCGCACTCTGACGCAAATGCACTATCACGCCGTGATTCCCCTCGCTCTGTCTCTCTCGCACCCCCTGCGTGAGATACGTCGTGTGACCGAGACATGTCCGAACGAGCAATCCATTGGTGGGGTCACACGTTCTGTTCGAGTCCCATTTAGCGACTCTGGAGCTCAAAACGCGTCCAGAGTTTTGTCCGCCTCCTCCGGTCTTCTGGCCCACTGTGCGGTGTTTTGCCTTCCGCCGGCAGTTTCCGCGCCCTTCTTCAAAATAAGTCTTGATTGTTCTTTTCGCTTTGCCGCCGCATTCATGCCTACCACTCCATTCTCAGATGCGCGCCGTGATAGGAAACTTTCTGCGGCCGGTCGGCCGGTCCGCCACACAACACCCCGGGGCCGACAGTGTGGGTCTACAAGCCGCCCGCGGCGCCCTCGTCGCGCCGTCTCGCTCGCACCCCTGCGAGACGCCCCCGCGAGTGCGAGAGAGACAGAGCGACGAAGCTCTGTCCGGCCTGCCGCCGGCCTGGAGGAAAGTACCGCGCCACAACACCGGAAGCGCCGTTCAACCCCGCCGGCTCGCCGGCACACTGCACTGACAGCGATCTGCCTCAATGGAGACATTAGCAACACGTTTGGGGTTCGGCGATGGGCCGCGCGAAGGGCTGCCTACCCACAAGGCGTTTGTCCAGCGCGATGGGCTGCCGACCCGCCGGGCGCTCGACCCGCGCGAAGGGCTGCCGACCCGCCGGGCGCTCGACCCGCGCGAAGGGCGGCTGCCCTCTCTTAGAGGGCAGTTTGCCTGTGGCTTGGAGCGCCTGTGAGGTAGGCCACCGACCCAGCCCGCAACGCACCTTTGTGGAGACGGTGGCCTACCTCACAGGCGCTATCCTTCCCAACGCAGCGGAGGAGGCGTTCTACAGTGGGCCAGGGCCACAATATCGGTAGAGGCGGCCAAAATTCTAGATGCGCTTTGACCTCTAGAGACTCGAACCGAGCGTGTGACCCCACCAATAGATTCCTCGTTCGGAGAGCAATCCATTGGTGGGTCACACGTTCGGTTCGAGTCCTGTTTAGCGACTCTAGAGCTCAAAACGCGTCTTGAGTTTTGGCCGCCTTCACCGGTGGCCCCACTGCGCGTTCACTGTTGCCTTCGCAGTGGGCGCACCGCACGGCGCAGTTGGCCGGTACAGCACGTCCGCGTCACAGCCCGAAATAAGGCATCGGGGAATGACCTAGAGAGTGTGTGCGAGTGAGAGGGCGATAGCGGGAGAGATAGAGCGGAATCGCTCTGGCTTGTGTGCACACTGTGCAGAGCAGAGGCGTGCTTCGCGTGCTTCGCGACTTCGTCTTAAGGAAGGCGTGACGCGGTGCCGAACACTCCTGGCAGTGCGCACCGCGGCGTCGCGGCGGAGGCGAGGATCGGGGAAGTCTGTGGCCCCTACCGTGCTGGCCAGCTTATTCGAATCTCGAGGCCCGTTCGCGCCGCAGCGTTGCCATAGCGTTGTCATAGCGACGCCGACTCACTCCCAGCGACCCCGGCCAGCGGAACGGAAGTGTGAGCGACCAGCACACCGGAAGTGTGGGCCGGGCGGCGCGGCGTTACCGGGCCAGCTGACCACTTAGTGCGGGGCCCTGCGACGCGCTGGGGACGCCGCGGACTTCGAGGCACTTCGAGGTCCCCGCTACACTGGTCTGACATGGAGCTTCTCGAAGGTAAGCCGTTTTCGTTCTTCGTGGAAGGCATTCGGAACTTATCGGCACTGGCCGAGCTGCAGTGTTGCTGTGCCGCGCACGCTCCCTGCTATCCGACGCATTTCTGACCGACAGATACGCGGCTTGGACGAGAAGCTGAAAAAGAAACCTTTCTTTTATTCCGTTTCCAGGCGTGCTGCTGGTGCTGTTGGCGCAGGCGGTCGCGTCAACCCCCCTCTGCCCGGTCGCCCAAGGCGATTCCTGCAAAGAAGTGCGGTTCTTCTTGTGGACCAGGTACCGGCCAATCTCTGCTCGGTAACTTCTGCCACATCCCACAGTGGGCCAGAGGACCGTTGGAGGCGGCCGGAATCCTAGACGTGTTTTGAGCTCCAGAGTCGCTAAACAGGACTCGAACCGAACGTGTGACCCCACCAATGGATTCTTCGTTCCGAGAGCAATTCATTGATGGGGTCACACGTTCGAGTCCCGTTTAGCGACTCTGGAGCTCAAAATGCGTCTAGAATTTTGGTCGCCTCCGCACCGTCCCACTGACCCGCTGCCGCCTGTTCTGTTCGCCCCAGCGCCAACCCGGCCGAGCCCCAGGAGGTGACCGTCGGCAACATCAGCGCCTCGCACTTCAACAACTCGCACCCCACCAAGTTCGTGATCCACGGCTACGCCTCGGGCATGGACCTGCCGCAGCTCGCCGACATCCGCAAAGGTGGCCGTCTGACTCGCCTCGCGCAGCGCAGCGCAGCGCGGGGTGTCTCCAGCGGCGCGGCGACGCGGCGCTACCCCGCGCGCGGCCCTGCTGGCGCGGAGTATCGCCAACGGCGGAGCGCGCTGTGGGCCAGAAGACTGGGCGGGGTGGTCAAAACTCAAGACGCGTTTTTAACTGTAGAGTCGCTAAACAGGACTCGAACTGAACGTGTGACCCCACCAATGGATTCCTCGTTCGGAGAGCAATGCATCGGTGGGGTAACACGTTCGGTTCGAGTTCCATTTAGTGACTCTGAAGCTCAAAACGCGTCCGGATTTTTGACCGCCTCCACCGGTCTTCTGGCCCACTGCGCACTGAGAAACTTGTCGCGTTGCAGAGTACCTGCTGCGGGGCCCGCACAACCTCATCTCCCCGCAGTACCTGGAGCTGGCCGACAGCCCCTGCTACCTGACGGCCGTCGTGAACCTGGACTACGTGGGCAAGTGCGTGGCTCGCTTCGTCCGCGGCCTGGACGTGGCGCGCCGCCCCTTGGAGGCTGACGGCGAGGCTGGCGTGGTGGACGTGCTGGACCTGCACCTCGTGGGCTTCAGCCTCGGCGGCCAGACGGCGGCCTTCGTCGCCAACCACCTCCGGCCCGAGTTCCTCCTGGACAGGATAACGGGTGAGTGCTTTGCCCGGCTAAGCGTCTTGTTGTTGAAAGGTCGCTTAAAACACAGTTACCCTATCGTGGCGTGGAATCTCGAGCAAGTCCTCTAAACTAGGAGGTGGTTCCTCCTCTCAGGGCTGGACCCGGCGTTCCCGCTGTTCACCACGAGCGACAAGGACCGGAAGCTGACGCCCGACGACGCGCTCTTCGTGGACGTGTTCCACGCCAACGCCTTCGTGCAGGGCCAGGGCAGCCCCTGCGGCACCGTCGACTTCTACATGAACGGCGGCGTCAGGCAGCCCGGCTGCGACGACCAGGGCTTCCTAGGTGATTCCGGACACAGTGGGCCAGAAGACCGGCGGAGGCGATCAAAAATCCGGCCGGACGCGTTTTGAGCTCCAGAGTCGCTAACTGGGACTCGAACCGAACGTGTGACCCCACCAATGTATTGCTCTCCGAACGAGAAATCCATTGGTGGAGGTCACGCGTTCGGTTCGAGTCCTGCTTAGCGACTCTGGAGTTCATGAACGTAAACGTCCTCCACGGCCCGCAGACAGGATGAAGTGCGACCACCACCGCGCCCCGATCTACTTCGCCGAGTCCATCCGGTCGCCGGTCGGCTTCTGGGGGTGGAACTGCACGTCTATCGAGGACTACGACATGGGGCGCTGTCCCGCCACCGGGCCCGGGGCTCTGGCCGGGGACGGCGTGGACCGGGCGTGAGTAGTCTCCGGCAGAGGTTTGATTCATTGATTGGTGCAATGATTGATTGTTTCATTAGTGAGTAATTCGTTGAGTGATTCATTGAGTGATTCTTTGAGTGATTCATTGAGTGATTCATTTTTGATTCATTGTTTGTTTCATTGGTTAATTCATCGATTGATTAAATCATTGATTGATTGATTGATTCCTTGACTGATGCATTCATTTATTGATTGATGGACTGATTTGTGGTGTGCGCAGGTCGAAGGGGTTCTACATCGTGGAGACCAAGAGCAGCGAACCGTTCGCGCGCGGGCGGTGGTGGCTGCAAGACCAGCAAGGGGAGGCGGTGTCGGATCAATCGGAACACGCTGCCGAAAAACAAAGTTGGTCGCTGAGCGAATTCATTAGGCGTGCCATCGTCAGCGCCGCTGGCTAAACCGTTCGCTGGCGCAGAGTGCGTTTTTGGCAGCACTTTTTTGTTCACTTCGTCAAAATAGTTGTAAATTTCAGAAAATTTTAGGCAGTTTTTCACGTGCATGAAAGGTGAACATGAGGCTGGAGTTAGCACCCAGCACATTTGAAGCGCCTACGTGAAAGCGGTTTAGGCAGTGACACCGAACTCTGGGCCCAAATTACTTTATCACCAATCACATACGACGGTTCAGGACTGCATCTCGAGATTCAGCGCGACATTATTTTTCTCCCCCAGTTCATCCCACCGTAACCCTCGCCTAAGAGTGTCTGCCAGCAACAACGGCAAGATCCCCGGTCTCGGACACCCTGCTGGGAGGTTTCCACCTGCACTTTTGACTTCACGGGCTACTTCATCCAAGACGTGATTGTTCAAGTTATGGAATCGGGATCACAACGGATCTAGTGACATTCTCCAGTCCTCCTCTTCGCGGGGCGGCCATGGTGGTCCTGTTTGCAGCCTTCGACCTCTTCCAGTCCAGGGCGCCCTCCAGAGGCGTGGGAAAAAGACCTGTCTGGATCCTCACCCTGTCGCCTATCGTCCCGGATGCAGGTCGATGTCCGGAACTGGCGTTCTGCAGGGGTGTGAGAGAGACAGCGAGAGTCTTCGGAGAGGGTCCACCTCCCTGACGCGCATGTCCACGCCGTGGAGGGCCTGCTGGCCTGCGGGCAGGAGCGAAACCTCGACGGGGACTGCATGTCCCGGACGCGGAGCGCGTATGCATCTAGCCGTCTGTCTGTTTGTCTTTCTGTCTTTCTGTCTTTCTGTCTGTCTGCCTGCCTGTCTGTCTGTATGTCTGTCAGCCTGTCTGTCTGCCGGCCTCGACCGTCCTGCCGGGCCACCCTAACCCGGCCATACGCTCAAGGGCGACATGGGACGGGGTGGGCAGGGCGCCGGCAGGGCCCCGGCAGGGCTGCTGGGGTCCTCACGCAAGATGAGAGCGAGATTGAATTTCGGAGTAGGTGCCTGCATGCCCATCGGGCTTACAGTGCAAAGGACGAGAGAAAGGGCTTCGCCGTGGCGTCGCAGAGGAACGCAGCCCGTTGGCTCGCCGTCCTCGTGCCCCACCAAAAGTGGGACAACTTTGTTCGATACGTGTCCTCCGTCTGCCAAACTTAAGTTAGTTGTTGTGTCTCATCAATCAGCATGTGTGTTTGTGTTAGTGTGTGTGCGAGGGCGGGGCAGAAGAGCTACCGGGCCTCAACAAAGACCGCCATCGCCGAAATGAACTTCTGCTTCCTTTCTCGACGACTCGTTTCGTTTTTTTCGAGAGCACAGGAAATTTGCGAACTATCGCGATTTGTCTTTTGCCTTCCGCTCGTTAGCGTGTTTTCCCTGGGAGAAGTACGGCCCTTGCGTGTGCTCCACTTGCCGTTGTCTCGCTGGGCGGAGGAGATTGCGCCAAAATGAGCGTGTTGGCGTGGAGCCTTGGCTGCCTTGGCTGCCGTGGCTGCCGTGGCTGCCCTGGCCAGCGGGACCAGCGAATGCCGAGACTTATCGGAACCTGTTGAAGACGTCACGGAGAGGACGCACTGACGGACGGGCAGACAGGCAGACAGACAGACAGACAGACAGACAGACAGACAGACAGATAGATAGACAGACAGACAGACACACACACAGACAGACAGACAACGAGAGGGCCCAAAATGTAAATAAAGTATGTTTTCCCCAGAACAACGTGTCGTTTAAATTTTCTTCTGACCAACCATGCATGTCTGACCGAAGGGCGAAGGGTGGGTAACTGCGCGATGAGTTTCCAGAGGCGTCGAGCGTCCAGTTTGGACACCACGACACGGCACGGCCGGAAAATGGCGTCCCTCAAACACATATGGACAATCTACACTTCACTTGACGCACGAGGGCGCGTTCACACAAAACACACACACACACACACACACACACACACACACACACACACACACACACAGTGAGAGCGTAAACTTTGGCGCGCAACTTTCTGACGCCCTCGCGCACGCTTCCCGCGCTTTCTGGTGTGTCTCCCAAAGTGTCGCCGTCCTCGTTAAATCCAACCTCGGCGAGGACGGGGACGGGGACGGGGACGGGGAGCGGGCAGCGCGGTCCAAGTGTGCGGCCCACAGTGGGCCAGAGGACCGGTGGAGGCGGCCAGAACTCTAGACGCGTTTTGAGCTCCAGAGTCGCTACATGGGACTCGAACAGAACGTGTGATTTGGTTTGGTTCGAGTTTCATTCAGCGAGTCAGGAGCTCAAAACGCATCCGGGATTTTGGCCGCCTCCACCGGTCCTCTGTCGAGCTCGGGTGCGCACGAGCATCCTCTTGTGGAAGAAGGGGTGCTTGGCAAAACCGGAACCAAAATATGGAGACTGTTTCCACCAAGTGCCAACGCAGTGTTTTCACAGTGCTGCCCCCCAGACTGCCGGTTATGACTCCCGTTTGGCGGCGTCGCGCGCGTTTTGACCCGTTTCCCGTTTTGTCCGACACCGACGCCAATTTCCGGGGCTCTTTCACGGCTCCGTTTTGTCGGACTTTGTCTGACGCGCCGTCGTAAAGCGGGACACGTGTTTGGCTCCCAGCGAGACAAACCCGTCGCCCATAAAAAAGCCCCGCGATTGGGGCGCCCCCTGCAGGGCTCCGCGGGGCCCTGCGGGTGCACTGCAAGACTGCAGTGGCCGATAAGGCAGGTGCATGAGGGGCCGGAAGGGGCTGTCAGTTCGGAATTGGAATCGTGTACAGATACCTGTGGCCGCGCGGCGCCGCGCCGTGGCCCTGGCCTTTGTCTGGCTCAACCCTTTCGCCGAAGACGTCAGACGGCCTCGACTGACGGCCGCCCCGCCCCACCCCGCCCCGCCCCGCTACGTCCCACCCCGCCCCGCCCCGCCTCGCCGCGCCCCTTCCGCAGATAGCAGACCGGTAGCGCTGACACATGTAGGCCGACTTCTGTTGCAAGGGACTCGTCGCATAACTAACGGCATCAGAATGGAGAGGGAGAAAGTGGCGAGGGTGCGCTGTGCGCCAAGTTGGCAAGGATCGTGTTTTCGAGTTTTCGAGGGGGACTTTTTGAGGCGGACTGTACGCCGGGCTGCTGCACTGCATAAAATTCCGGACGCGTTTTGAGCTCCAGAGTCGCTAATCAGGACTCGAACCGAACGTGTGACCAATGGCATTGCTCTCCGAACGAGGAATCCATTGGTGGGGTCACATGTTCGGTTCAAGTCCTGTTTAGTGACTCTGCAGCTCAAGACGCGTCTAGAGTTTCGGCTGCCCGCGCCAGTCTTCTGGCCCACTGTGCGTCGCGGTCCTCGCACCGTTACCGGCGTTACCGAGACACTCGCTTCCGGAATGGTCCCGATGACCCGCGTCCTCGTGGAGGAATCCTCGCGCGCGGCCGGTCGGGCGGCCAGCGCACGCACCGTTCAAGTTCACCGACTCGAGGCGTGGCGTGGCGGGGCGGGGCGGGGCGGGGCGGGGCGGGGACGCCGATTTGCCGTCCGTCCGGTGGGTCCGTTGCAGTCGGTGCAGGACACGCGTCTTGGCGATAGTGACCGCGCGTCCCAAGTTTCGTCCAGTGTGTCCGCGGCGCCGGGCCGACCAGCACGCCGTCCTTCGCCTCGCCATGCACCGCCACGCCCTGCACCTGGCCGCCGGCCTCGCCGTCGTCCTCGCCGCCTCCGTGCACGGTTCGTACGCAAAAAACTTTACTTCGTTCGGTTTTGAACCACCGACTTGTAGGTTGGGAAGCAGCCTCACTGCGCTCTGAGCTACCGAACCAAAGACCCTCCCGGCGCCGCAGGCCCGGCCTACGACCCGGAGTGGACGACCGAGCTGGAGGGCTACGGCCGCACCTGGATGTTCTTCCCCGACGGCGACGGCGTCCCCCGCGTCGCGCTGCTGGACACGTCGGACGAGCGGTCCACGCCCAGCGTCCCCGACGAGGTGGGGCCCGATGACGTCACATTTTACCTGTACACCAGGTATGTCCGAAACCAACCATGCTGAGTTGGCCGAGGTGTTAGAGGTGTCGGATCGCACTAGTAAGGTCTAGAGATCGAATCCTTACACTTTTATTATGTTTTTTTGGCATTGATTGGGTGCGCGAGACCCACAGCGCAGAGGCAGCAGCACCATCTACATCTGGAACGCCCTCTCCGGAGTTTCTCGCTTTATTTTTAGCAGTGTAGTTCGGGCCGTTCCAGTGCACACAAACCGAGATTTTTGAATGATAGGGCATCTTCCGGGCGGGAACCCTGCGAGATTGAGATGGTCAACATGCCGGGAGTTGAACCCGAGCCAAGCGGACGGAGCATATCCGATGCCGCTGACGTCGTAACCCACCGAGCCATTAAGTTTCCATTGCTTCCTTCCATGAGCGCAGACAAGACAACAACTCAGACTTGAAATCCTCCATTGTACCTTCCACAGGAAGCCCTAGGGCTTTCCCTCCGACCGTATCCTGTTATGCTTTCGGTCAGATGGTACCCTTAAAATTGTCAGAGAAGTAGAAGACGTGTCTTCCGCGCACTACTAGTCAATAAACCATAGACCCAAAAGAGATACGTACGTAGTCTGGACGGCCCCACCACAATTACCCGCTACCGAGCGAGAGTCGTCTCGTCGCTCTGTCTCTGTCGCACTCACGGGGCTCTCCGTGAGGGTGCGAGAGAGACAGAGCGCGCCTGCTTGATGGCAGGGACAAGGAGCTGTCCGAGGTGGTCGACGTGGAGGACCCGGACACCTTGTGGCAGTCCTCTTTCGACCCGAAGCGGCCCACCAGGATCATCACGCACGGATGGAAGTCCTCTGCCGACGCGGACATCGTGCAGCTCCTCAGGAAGGGTGAGGGCAGCCGCATGTCACAAACTTCAAAATGGCGTTTTTTTTTCTTTTTCGTTTTTTTTTAAGTTTAAAACGGTAAAAATATTTTTAAAAGTTTATTTAAAAAATAAACGTACAATTGTAAACATTTGGCGTAAACTTAAACAGGTTTGCAAATCATGAAAGAAACAAAACAAACCATCAATGATGAATGCGTTCTTCCAGCGTACCTCGAGAAGGAGGACTGCAACGTGATTGGGGTTGACTGGTCGGGCCTCGCCAGCAGCAACTTCTACCCGTGGGCCAAGTCCTACACCAACCCCGTGGGCAGGTAGTCTCTACCGGATGAGTATTCCTTGCCTTTGGCACTCTGACGCACTGTGGGCCAGGAGACGGGCGAAGGCGCTGGAAGCCTTTTGAGCTCCGGTCCCTCATGGGACTCGAACCGAACGTGTGACCCCACCAATTGGATTGCTCTTCGAACGAGGAATCAATTGGTGGGGTCACACGCTCGGTTCGAGTCTTATTTAGCGACGCTGGGGCTAAAAACGCATCTAGAGTTTCGTCCGCCTACGCCGGTCTTCTGGCCCTCTGTGACACCATGTTGACGGACGCAGGCGGGTGGCCACCTTGATAAAGGAGATGGTGGGGGCGGAGAAGTGGTCCAAGACGAGCCCCAAGGAGAAGAACAAGAACAGGAAGAAGAAGACGAAGAAGAAGACCGGGCTGGAGAAGGCGGTCACGGAGCGGGCCAAGCTCTCCGACATCCACTTGATCGGCCACAGCCTGGGCGCGCACCTCATGGGCTACGCCGGCCACCACCTCACGCCGTTCAAGGTGTCCCGGATCACAGGTGGGTGTCCCTACAACACTGTCAAAGTAAATGATGACTTTGACAAAAGTGTTAGACTTTCAGTGAAGCCCAGCTTGTACTTTATGCGATGCGGTAAGTATTTCTTGCGCGGCAGAAATAATTGGTTTTATTCCCCGGCAGGCCTGGACCCCGCCATGCCGCTGTTCGAGATCTTCCCCGGCAGGGACGGCCACCTGGACAACACGGACGCCGAGTTCGTGGACGTGATCCACACGTGCGGCGGCGCGCTCGGCTTCCTGGACAACATCGGCCACGCCGACTACTACCCCAACGGCGGCACGCCCATGCAGCCGGGCTGCTGCTGCGCCGCCGAGCTCGCAGGTGCGGCAGAGCCACTTCGCATTCATCAATCCTCTTTTCCGGCGTGCACGCATGGCACGGCACTTGAGTTCGAACACTCACTCAGTTCCCACTTAGGTTGAACTTTTCACCTTCTGCCCCTGCCACTGTTAAAAGCCCTCTGACGTGCTGTCCGCAGAGGCCTGCAGCCACGGCCGCTCCTACCAGTTCTTCGCCGAGTCCATCCGCTCCAAGGACTTCGTCGGGCTGGCCTGCGAGTCCTGGGAGGGCTTCTACAACGGGTCCTGCGCGGACGGGGCCACCGCCGTCATGGGCGAGCACACCCCGCACACGTAAGCGCCCATCAATGTCACTACTTACTTCTCAGCCACGCACAGTGGGCCAGAAGACCGGTGGAGGCGGCCGAAATCCTGGACGCGTTTTGAGCTCCAGAGTCGCTAAATGGGACTCGAACCGAACGTGTGACCCCACCAATGGATTGCTCTCCGAACGAGGAATCTATTGGTGGGGTCACACCTTCGGCTCGAGTCCTGTTTAGCGACTCTGGAGCTCAAAACGCGTCTGGAGTTCTGGACGCCTCCATCGGTCTTCTGGCCCACTGCGCGGAATGGTGCAGTGACCGTTTGTCCGCAGCACTCGGGGCGTGTACTACTTGACCACCAACGACGAGGCGCCGTTCGCCAAGGGGATGTGGGGCGCGCAGAAGGCGTAGTGCCGCGCGCGCCGCGCCAAGTCCAGCAACAACAAAAACAGCACGACGTCCACGAGTGCAAGCGCCGGTCATTGTTGTTGTTTATTTCTGCGTGTGAAAGTTGCCGAAGTATTGTTCCACGTCGACATCCGGGGGAAAGTTAAAGGGCTTCCAGGACGCCTCCGCGCGTCGTAGGGTCTGACCGAGCGCTCAGGGCACAGTGGGCAGAAGACCGGTGGTGGTGGCCAAAACGCTCGACGCGTTTTGAGCTCCAGAGTCACCAAATGGGACTCAGACCGAACGTGTCACCCCAATGGATTGCTCTTTGAACGAGGAATCCATTGGTGAGGTCACACGTTCGGTTCGAGTTCCATTTAGCGACTCCGGAGCTCAAAATGCAACGAGAGTTTTGGCCGCCTCCACCGGTCTTCTGGCCCACTGTGCTGCGAGGGCCGGCCAGGGCCGACCAGTTGATATTGGTGTGAAGGGGAGTCCTAGTCCCTTCCGGCTTCCGGGGCCAGCTGGAGGCGAGGAGGAGGCTCTGTCTCTGTCGCACGCATGGGCGTCCCCTAGGCGTGCGAGGGAGACGGGGCGGCGCAGTGACTCGGCAGAACGTCGCGCAGCGTCGGCGGCCAGTCCGGCGAGTCCAGCGAGGCGCTTTCTGGCGCTATCTGCCCCGGCTGCAGGCTGGCTCCCAACAGGGTTCTCTGTCTCTCTCGCACTCATGCGGCACCCCCCAGCGGAGCGAGAGAGACAGGCGCCGTTCGGAGTCAGCCTGACCAGACGGACCGACGGGCCGACGGACCACCCCCTGCTGGAGCTTGGCTGGGCCTTGGCTGGAGCCAGTCTTGGCCGTCACTGACTTGGGCGGCCAGCCCCGGGGCGGGGCGGGTTAGGCCTCAGATTAGAGAGCAATCCGAGATCGGCCCGTTTGCTGATTAGTGGACTAATGAAGATAGAAGGTCTCGAAGGGTCTCGATGCTTGCGGCTGTCTCCCCTCCCCCTCCCCGGACGTCCCTTCGGCGCCTGCAGTGGCCTCTCGCGGGGACACCCGCCCCGCCGCGCCCCGCCGCGCCCCGCCACGCCCCGCCACGCCAGCACGGCCGCGCAGACACATGTACGCTTATGGTAAGCGTGGTAATCTACATGAGATGCCCGGGCTTTGTTTCGCCAAGTTTGCCCAGGGTACGCGGGGCTACGCGAGGCTACGCGAAAGGAGAAGAAAAGAAGCGGGGCCAAAGTTTGGAAGCCGTTCGGGCCGAGCCCTCCCCGGCAACGCCCCGCCACGCCCCGCCACGCCCCGCCACGCCCCGCCACGCCCCACAACGGGTTGGCGAAACTTCATTCTGGACCCGAAACATGAATGGTTAATAAAATACGAGTTTCTTTTCTTTCCGACGGAATGAGAAAGGAGGAAGGAGCGAACGACGAGGGAGAAAAAAAACGAGAGAGAGACAAGGAGACAGCAGGGGCGGGATGGCGTCGGGTCGGGGTGTTCGCGGAGGGTAGTTGTGTGTGGAACGTGCCCCGCCCCCCCCGCCCCGCCCCGCCCCGCCCCCCCCCGCCCCGCCCCGCCCCGCCCCGCCCCGCCCCGCCCCGCCCCGCCCCGCCCCGCCCCGTCTGTGTGTGTTCCTTGATCAAGCACCGCGGCGAGGCCGAGGCGCCGAGGCGGCCAAAAGCGACCGCACCGCTCTGCCTTTATTGATCTAGCAAGTTGGAGCCATCGGCTACCTCTGCTAATTGACGATCAGACGACCTGGGCGCGGACAGCGAGCGAGGGGCGTGGCAAGCGCAGAGGGCTTTTGGCGGGAAAACTGTTGGCGCTGGTTTCGAATTTAGAGGGCTCTTTTTCATAACTGTCATTGTTGGACAGACATCAGCTGCTGGCCGCTGATTCATGCACACAGTTGTTAACTATACACAAGGATGTCCGACAAAGTCGGGAGTGTACGATCTCATAACAATGTTTAAAAGTCAATGCGAAAGCACTGTGTATACTATACCAAAGGGAATTGAAACTGTACGATGGACGAATTGTCAATAAACACGCTGCCAGCAAACCCTTTTTCCTTTCTCCGAGTTTTCCCTTTTCCCCGCCTTTTTAGGCAGCGTAAGAAGGCACTGTGGGCCCGAGGACCGGTAGGCGGCCAAAATGCTCGACGCGTTTTGAGCTCCAAAGTCGCTGAATAGGACTCGAACTGAACGTGTGACCCCACCAATGGATTGATCTCCAAACGAGGAATCCATTGGTGGGGTCTCACGTTCGGTTCGAGTCCTGCTTAGCGACTGTGGAGCTCAAAACGCGTCTAGAGTTTTGGCCGCCTCCACCGTTCTTCTGGCCCACTGTGGAAGGCCTGCCGAGGCCAGACGGTTCGTGAGGGCGGCCCTTACCTGTGAAAACAGCAGTAGGTCAAGACCTTCAGGACGGGCCGCGCTGGGCGCCGTGCTGCTGGGTGGTGAGGCGAGCCTTGCCGACAACTTTACAAATAAATCGAATTCGGTGCGGGAATAGAGACGGATACCCGGGAGGAGCCGCGCTTCAGTTACTCTGTCTCTCTCGCACTCGAGGGGCGGCCCCGTCGGGGTGCGAGCGAGACAGAACGACTGGACGAAGAGCGCCGGCTAAACGCAGTATCTCTTCAGAGTGTTTGTCTCCAGCAGCCTCATTCCGAGAGTCGTCTTCGTCACTCTGTCTCTCTCGCACTCATGGGGCGTCTCGTACGGGTGCGAGAGAGCCAGAGGGACGGAGACGACTCGGAATCAGGCTACAGCAGCGTCGCGGGCCATTCCGATTCGGATTGGAATTCACTGCCACTGGGCGGCGCGGCGAGGCCAGGCAAGGCGGCGCGGCCCGGCAGGTAGGCAGCCCAACGTGCTCGCCGGAGATACCCCGGGGAGCAATGGCAGCTAACGAGTTAAGAAGCCTTTCCGTTGATGCTGGCTTACTCAGATAGCCGTAAATACAAATAAATTCCTGTTACCACCAAGGTCATAACAATGTAAGTAGCACACAGAAACTCTAAAGCGGCAGGGTGGGGCTTTCTGGCTACTTATGTGGCAACACTGGACGTGAATGTGGACACATTATTGTGAGCATTCGGTTGTCCAATTTTAGTTGGTGAATCACACAATTGGCATCGTCTTGCCAGGCTCTGGGTGTAGTCACCACATTTATCAAAGTTAGAATGGGTGGAGGGAAAGTGTGCGAAGGGGTGAGATTAAAACATAAAATGGGAATAAGAAAAGGAATAAAAAAGTTTGCAAGTGGTGGTTTGGCGGGGCTGCGTTTCACTCCAACCCTCTCTGCCAGTGCATCGGCAAGGCTGTGGAGGGGCAAAATCCTCACTTCAAACCTCTGCCACTGATGCAGCATTAAATTTGTCTTGTGTTTTGAAACCGCCCCCAGCCTCGCAGAGTTTTTAGCCCTCGTTGCTTACGGTGGCCGAAACTTGAGGAATTATTTTTATCAGCGAGGATCCTCGCCCTGCCCCACCCCGCCCCGCCCCGCCGCCCCGCCCCGCCCCGCCCCGCCCCGTGCCCACCCGTGATGCGATTTGGATGTAAGTTTCGGGCGGCGCGGGGCTGCACGGGGCGGGTGGGCCCGGCCCGGCTGTGTCAGGGATAGAGAGGTCCTTAAGTGGTACAGGGATTGGGCGACTGGGAGTTTGGAATCTCGCTGGGCTCGGCGCGGCCCTCGGCGCGGCCCTCGGCGCGGCCCGGCCCCCAAACTTGTAATCCATTACTCATTTATGGCCACCCTTGCATGTGCTTCGTCGCTCTGTTTCTCTCCCACGCCCCTGCGGGTGCGGGGCAGCCCGTGAGTGCGAGAGGGACGGACCGACGGTGGGGATTCAATTTGGGGTCAAGCACCACGTCGTCACAGTGTCCAAACCGGACATCGGACCGTCACCGTGAGGGTGCGAGAGAGACAGAGCGACGAAAGCACTGTTCGGAACGCGCCTGCTCTGCCAGCGCAGCAAACGGACAGTGAGTGGCTCCCATGCGATCTTGGAGTGGCGCGGCGTGGCGTTGGCGGCGTGAAAGGCGTCCCCGCGCTGCGTGGCGTGTCGATTTTCATGGCGAGAGATGCAACATTTTACGCGCCGCCACTCTCTCTCTCTCCCCCCCTGCGTCGCCTGGCGTCGCCCCCTGCGCGCGGCTCTGCCGGCTCGGCGGAGGCGCGGAGGCGCGAAGCTGCGAGGCGAGGCGCGATGCCCGCGGGGGGCGTAACGGACGGAACGGCACGTAACGGGACGTACTGTCAGCGATAGCGGTAACGACACCCTGTTTTACGGCCGCGCCACGGCAGCGAAGCGGAGCAGCGCAGCGCCGAGAAAGCCTCGGTGACGTGCGCGTCGCCGCGTCGCCGCGTCGCGGGGGAGGCGTCCAGGGCCGCTTCTCTCTCTCTCTCTCTCTCTCTCTCTCTCTCTCTCTCTCTCTCTCTCTCTCTCTCTCTCTCTCTCTCTCTCTCTCTCTCTCTCTCTCCCTCTCCTTCCCTCTCCCTCTCCCTCTCCCTCTCCCTCTCCCTCTCCCTCGCACCGTTTCAGGCCTTGGCCAGTGAGTGCGAGAGAGACAGAGCAAATCATCTCCCCGTCCGGAAGCGGCCTGCAGCAGCGCCCCCTCGCGCCCCGCAGTGTCGCCAACAACAACATTCGCAGGCAGGCCAAGGCGAGGGCCAAGGCAACCCAGTGTTAACAACCTCGCGCTGCCTCGCGCCCCGGGCGGCTGTCAGCGTTTAACGCGCACCTCGCATTGCAGAGCGATTTGCACTCCGAGTCACCCGTCGTGGTTGTTCGTCAGGTTGCCTGCCGGGCCTGCCGGGCCTGCCGCATTTCGCCATCTTTAGAGTGTGGTGGTCGAGTGGAGTGGGCCGTCCTGGCTGGAGCGAGGCTCGACCGCCGGATAAGAAGGCGGCAGTTGGCAGGCCCGTCCGCGGCCTCTGTCCAAACAGGGAGGCTGCCGTGCTGTACCCGAGCTGGGTAAACACACTTTTGAATTCGGGATGGAAGGGGATTTCATCAAGCCCTTGTCCGGCGTGGCCGTGCGTGACGGGCCGAGGGCAGCCCGGGGCCCAGGGCCGAGGCTCGTGCAGGTGAGGGCACCCTTGACGCGGCTCGGCCTGCTCGGCCCGGCTCGGCTCGGCCAGCACGCGCCAGACAGGGGGCGGCAGACACTTGCCGGAAATCCTCTTTGTGGGCTGGCTGCCGCCGCCTGCCGTGATCCCGTGTG